GCAATGCCAAAGGCTGCAGAGTGAGGATGGAGACATGGTCCTTGGATTTGGTAACTAAGAGAGCATTGGTTGCTTTGGAGAGAGCAGTTTTGATGGAATGATAAGGTCGGAATCTGGATTGTAAGGGGTTAAGAAGAGGGCGAGAGGAGAGAAAATGGAAGTACCTATTGTAGATGGTCTTTTTGAGGAGTTTAGCCATAAAGGGCTGAAGAGATATAGGATGATTAATAGGGATGATAGTGAGGATCAAATGAAGGTCTTTTCCAGGATGAGGGAGACATGGATAAGTGTGTAGGCAGTGGGGATGACAGAGGGGGCAATCTGTTGGAGGAGACAGGATGGAACAGGATTGCTTGTGCAGGTAAAGGGAGTAAGGCCAGTTCTTCATGAGAGATGGAGGTGAAGGAGAGAGTGGTAGAAGGAATAGAAGTGATATGAGGTGAGGAAGGGGGGAGAAGAGGGAGCTTCTGAATGACCTCAATTTTTTTTCTGTTAAATACGAAGCAAGGTTCTCAGCTGAGACAGTGGGGTTAGGGGGACCCAGGGGAGGTTTGAAGAGGGATGAAAAGGTTTGGAAGAGCCACTGTGGAGAATGGGATAATGAGTTGATAAGGGAGGTATAGTAGGACTGCCTAGCAGCAGTGAGAGTCCGTAATATACATTTGTAGGAGATCCAGTCAGAACAGTTATATAATTTTCTCCATTTTTATTCAGCAGCATGAGTATAGGAGCAAAGGTGACGAGTGATAAGAATGATCTAAGGCTGAGATTTGGCTGGGTATAATCAGTAAGAGAGAAGGACAGCATAGAGTTGAATGGATTTACCCAGGGGTAAAGATGAGGAAAAGGGGAGAGTGGCTAGTTCGGGGAGATGGCGCAGGAGAAAATGAGAGGGCCAGGGACTAGAGGTCGTGGTGTGGACAGAGAGTAGTTTTGTAAGGAAAGGCAGAGGGAGAGGTGAAAAACCAACAGACTATGGCTGGATAGGGGGATTTTGGAGTTCTTGAACATGTGAGTAGTACGTTTGTGAGTGATGGCAAGGTTACAGGTATGGTCATCTTTGTGTGTGGCTGAGGTGGGGTTGAGGAACCAGAGTGAAGGTGCAACCAGCACTGGAAAAGGTGGCCAGGGTGACTGTGTCATCAGAGGAAAGCCAGATTTCAGCAATAGTTTGTAGATGGAAGGATGGCAGAGGAAAAGATTTAGCATAAAGAGGAGTTTGTTGACTATGGAACAGGCATTCCAGAGGGCACAGTGGAAGGGCTAGGTGGTGTTTGGTGGAAACTTGAGGGTGGGATGGTTGAGGGGGATGAGAATGAGGACTCAGGTGGTAGGGGTCGGATGGGGGATGGGGTTTGGATGATGATCTACAGGAGTTCAGTCACTAGGAGGTATGGCCAGATGTGAGAATGTTCATCACTGAGTGGAGGGCGTCACTTCTCTTCCCAGTAGAGGTTGGAGGTCAGACTGGAGGTAAGTGCAGTATGAGATGGGAGTACAAAGTCAGATGGGGGGCCCTGCTTCACAACTCCTCTTCCCTCCAAAGGTTGGAGGTTAGGTAAGAAAGGGGCACAGCAGGAGAGAAAAGTCACATTCTCTAGGGGCAGCGAGGTGGTGCAGTGGACAGAGCTCTGGCCTTGGAATCAGGAGGACCTGAGTTCAAATGTGGCCTGACACTTACTAGCTGTGTGACCCTGGACAAGTCACTTAACCCCAATTGTCTCAAAAAAAAAAAAAAGTCGCATTCTTCATGGACTTTTCTCTTCCTCTTCTCAAAAGGACGGATGCAGCAAGAGATGGGAGGCCTGAAGTCAAGGGGTGGGTCACTTCTCTGCACCAGAGGGTCTCCACCTCCTGGTTGGGAGTCTGGCATGGTGGCATGGGATGGAGGTTGCTGTGTGTTGGGGCAGATGGAAGAAGCCCAGCCCAGCCCATCGCAGCCTTTCTTCAGGTCAGGCTGCACCTGGCAGGAGATGGACAGCGCCAGGCACGAGGCCAGAGGAATACCTCTTCTGGCTGCTCTTCTCCCCTGAGGAGGCTGGCTACGCAAGGCAGCAGTAGGCAGGGGAAGGGCCTTTCACATTTCCTGGGATCCTTTATTTGAGGCCATGGGCTCAAACACTGGGATCATATATTCACTCATAAGGGTTTTGAGTTGGAAGGTACCTTAGTCAAACCTCCTCATTTTAGAGATGAAGAAACTGAGGTTCATAAAGACGGGAAGATTTTGCCCAAGGCCAGTGTTCTCCCGTTTTGGACATTCTACCGTCATGTCTGCTGTGGCTTCAGAAAGGGGTGAAATGAGCTCTAGCTGAAACTGAGGGCAGGACAGGCCTGGAGAAAGGCAATTATGTGTGGGATTTTCTTTTGGGTCTAAAATTTACCGTGGCAAAAGCACAGCAGGTATAGAGGTGGGAATCTTAAAAAACAAACAAACAAAAAACAGATCTATTTACAGTTATGGAGTTAAGAGAAAATCATCATTATTGCTGCAGTATTTGTGACTAATGGAAAGGGCTCTTCCATGCATGACCTTTCAAAATTTTTCATTAGAATACTTGGGGGGCATGTTTAATCTTTACAGAGTGCAAGCTCCTTGAGGGCAGACTTTTCCTCTTGCCCCATGCCCAGTATATGCCTGGCACTAAATAATTGCTTGCTAACTGATCAGTTGGTCGACAATGGCCTCAGTCATTATCCCCTGCCTTGCCATGGCCACACTTTATCCAGTTGCTGACCAAATGTGGGTAATGGACACGCAGAAGCCGCTTTAGGCCAGGAAGTCTCCTTTAGGGGGCACCATTTAGAGCTTTGTCTTGGACTCTCTATTAGGGATGGCCAAATTTAATCTCTAGGCAAATATCAGGAAACCATCTGTTTTTTCATTCTTATGACAGTGTGTGTGTGTGTGTGTGTGTGTGAGGGGGGATGAGGCAGCAGCTATAGAGTGGTACTGGTGTTTCTAGCGGGGCCAGTTATCAGTACCAAGTGTAGGATTTTAGAAAGGTCCACAGATGCTAAATGATTGTTAGAAGTCTGACTCCCTCTTTTAACAGATGAAGAAACAGAAGTTTATAGAGGTTAAGGTACTAAGTGGCAGTGCTGAGATATGAACCACGGTCCTGACTCCAAATCCAGCACTTTCCACAATGCCAGACTGTTCAGAGTGTGCCACTGCTAACTTTTAAAATAGAAGCAGCGATCACGAGTTGGCTCACCATCACCAAGAATAGATCATGCCAAAGAGACATTTCCCAACAGATAAATGGTCAAAGGAGTGAACAGTTTTCAGAAAAACTGCAAGCTCTCAACAACCATTAAAACAGCTAGATGAGGGGCAGCTAGGTGGTGCAGTGGTTAGAGCGCTGAGCCTGAAATCAGGAAGACCTCAGTTCAAATCTGACCTCAGACACTTACTAGCTGTGTGAGCCTGGGCAAGTCACTTAACCCTGCTTGCCTAAGTTTGCTCATCTGTAAAATGAGCTGGAGAAAGAAATGACAAATCATTCCAGTACCTTTGTCAAACAAGCCCCAAATGGGGTCATGAAGAGTCAGGCACAACTGAATGAAAGAACAAAAAGTAAAACAACTCTGAAATTTTACCTCCTACTCAGCAAATTGGCAAAAGTAACAGTTAATGTTAGAGGGATTGTGAGGACAGGCATACTAATACTGTTGGTGAATTGGTTCTACTGTTCTGGAAGTTTGGAATTGGAATAAACTGCTTCTATATGCTTTGGCCAGCAATCCTAGTATTAGGCATATGAACCAAGGAGTTAATAATGTAATATGGCAACCAAAAAATGAATCGGGCCTTAGGATCATAGAGTGAGAGCTGGACGGGTTCTCGGGAACCATCTAGGCCAACTCTCTCCTTTTGCAGATGAGGAAACTGAGGCTGGGGAGGTGAAGTTGCTGGCCAAGGTTCTAGAGGTACCAAAGATTGGAGGTGGGGTTGGACCTGGTCCTTAGACTCCACAAACAAGCGCTGTCCCCATTGGACCCCACGGCCTTCTCGGGCTACAGTAAGGAAGGTACCCCACTGTGCTCTGCCCTGGCAAGGCCACCTTGCCAGGTGCCTTGTTCATGAGTAGGCACCTCCATTTTGGGAAGAACATCAGTAAGCCAGAATGTGCAAAGGAGGGAAACCAGGACAGGGAAGGGCCCAAAGTTCATGCTGGGTGAGGACTGGCTGAAGCAGTCAGGGCAGTTTAGTCTAAAGAAGGGCAGGGAAGGAATGCTAAAGAGGCTTCATGTTTAAGAAACACTTGCTAACCAGGAGCTATGAGTAATGAAATGGCCCTCCCCCCTCTGCCTTGGAGTTCCTCCGAGGCAGTGGATTCCTCCACATTGGGCCTCTGTGGGAAGATCCCTTTTCAGGCAGGGGTGGGCTTAGAGGGTCTCGAGTCCCTTCCTGTCCTGACATTCTGGCTTTTGTTCAGTGAGGTTTGGAGCATGGGTTCTGGTGGCGCGTGAAGGTTAACTTGAGGAAGGGCGGGATGTAACCTGAGTTAAGAGGCTCTGGTCAAACAGATCATTTGCTTTTCTCTGGGGATGGGGATCCCAAGCTCTTCTGTCACCTGCAGTCAAGCAGATGGGGCAGACTAAGAAGCGAGTGTTCATTCCGAGCTTAACAAGATGGCGGCTGGTCTGAAGATGAAGGTGCCCAGGCACTGGCTGGATCCTAGCCGTCGTCAGCCTCTGGCCTGATCCAGGGATCTCCCCGCCACAGCTCTAAGAATGGGAGAAGTTCAGAAGATGTGGGTGTCCTCATATCGACTGTTTGCTCTCCAACAACTTGACAAGTTGGACTCTGAGCTCCCTTTACCAAAGCCTTCATTCTCTGCCCCGTGAGGAACATAAACCATGTGGAAGGAGATTGTGCTAGGAGAGGACTCAGTTTAGCAAAATTTAGGACCATTCTCAAGGCAAAATGGAGTCCCTTTAGAAACCTGAAAAAAGGAATTAAATAGAGCTTTAAATATTTTTAATAAAACCTATTCACAATTATTAATTTCTTTATTCTGTGAAAAAATGGCAAGTGTCTTTCTAAATCAGACCCATATAAAGTCATGAGCTGATGCAGTTCAAAGACATGGTCGATCGTGATCATATATGGATTCCAGGAACACCTGCCCCTCTTCTCAGAATATCCTTTCCAAGGGATGAGCACATGTGTAAGATCTATTACCCAGTACCAGCTGAGCAGCTTTTTTAATGTGTTCATCTAGATTTTCAGAAGAATCTGGAAAAAAAAATAGAAAAAACAAACAGATGACAGTGACAGATGTCAATGCTGCCATTACAGCATTTGAGAAAAAGCATAAAGAAAAGGCAATCGATCTCTGTACGAGGGCAGAGAAAAGCAGTCTATCTAATCAGTTGACTTTGGGGCATCCCACTGTTGTAGGCCCAGGTAATTACCCAAGGCACTTTCTCCTCAGGAGAGAATGGAATGAGAGCCCGATGGGGCCCACAATCAAGCAGGAGTGTAAGACTGGCTCGTGGAAAGTCTAACGGTGAGATGCAAAACAAATGCCCCGAGAAGGGAAGGGAGCGTTAGCTATGACCGAATGATACAGAGGAAGCCGATTCACTCTCTCCTGAACGTCCAAATGCCCCCAACCTGGGGCTATGGGATTACTCTTTTGGCTGCTGCTTTCCTATCTAGGATAGAAAAGAATGTTGGCAATCCCCATGACTTTTCTAGACAAACATCTGTAGCATTCAGAGCAAATAAAATTCATTAAGCATCTTGGGATTGTATTCTTAACTATCAGCAGCTACTGATTAATAAACACAGAAAACACAATTCCTGCTCCCTTTCCTAGGAACCTCTCTCCCAAAGAGGCTCCAGGAGCATGATCCAGCAATAACCATAGTCTGATGTGGCGGTCCTATCTGCCAGCCAGAACCACTACACAAGGGTCACCTTTCTGGGCAGTTGAAGAGAAACCCCCAATAAAACAGCCCTACTGTGGGGAAGTTCCACATACTTCTCTGCCCAACAATGCATGCACTGTAGGTCTCACTAAGATGTCTTGTTTGATTGCCTTAAGCTTGTGGGAAACATCCAGCTAATTTCCATTACAGGGGCCAGGGCACCACTCACGAAGGTCTTTTTGTTGTTGTTGCTGCCGTGGTTCTATTACGAAAGATAACGATGAATTACTGTAAGAACCATACAATGCCTTGATTCCTAGGGCGTGTGAAAATGCTGACTGCCAGAGGAATTAACACCTTTTTCTGATACGTTATCCTATACTAAGAGGCACGAAGGAGAGAGGAAGAGGCACTGAGTTTGGCTACCTGATGAGGTTGAACAAGTATAAACAAGACCTTCATTTGAAAATGTGCTCACTGTTATTCCTTACTCTTACACAGATAAATAATCAAGAAGAATTCTGAACTAGACCATCTTCATAATCACCAGCCTGTGTCCGAAGTCCCACTATTCGACTGGGCCTTCCCACATCACTTACATTTTTCTAGCTGAGACAAGTTGTAAAGATTCTTGAAATATGCCTCGGTGCAGAAAATATTTGTCAGTAGAACCTAACATAAAAAAATATAAACATCAGCAGATTTAAAATTTTCCTCTTTTAAACAAATACATTCAGTATTCTCGACCTTGGGGTGAACTGGGCTAGCAAGAAACAGAGCAGGAGTCGAGTAAAGGACAGCCCCCAAACTCTCATGGTGATGCGCTGAGCGTATCTGCATGGGCCAATGGGAAGACGAGAAGAGGAGCAGCGGGGGCACGTGTGGGTGGGCTGTGTCTTCTCTGGGGTCCCCGCAGCAGGGACAGGGCTGGAGTCAGGAATGGTGAGTACAGCCAGGCTCAGAGCAATGATGCTAGTTCTCGAGCCTTTTTCCAAGGAGTTCTGTCATTTGTAGCCCCCATCCCTCCCCTTGATTACGGAACAGAGCTGAGTTGTAATTTATGGATTGTCAAGTCCCACAACATTACACACCGGTAATGAGAGGAAAAGCCTCAGAGGTCATTTGGTTGAACACTCCTAGAAATGTTACATCCAAGGGCACAGAGTGAATTACTACAAACAGTTCTACCTACATTGTACAGATAAATGCTATTCCGCTTACTTCCCTGGTGTAAAAAATGTCATGGAATCACTGAATATAAGAAAAACTCTTTCATTTTTTTCTGCAGGCAAGGCGAAAACTAACCAGAAGAATCGAGTCCTTTAATAACTGATCCTGTTGCTTACTAGCAAATTGTAATCATCAAACCTGTTCCCCAAAGAAATGCTTCTGTTTCTAAAACCAACTGCATTTAAAAAACAACATATTGAAAGCAAATGGATAAATGGGTTCACCATATATGTACTGAACTTAGGAGAGAAAAACTGCCTGCAGCCCCAGCCCCAGCCCCACTCCCACACTCACCTCATGGTCATGGTTGTGCAGCCCGAGGCGGACGGAACGGCTGGATCTGGAGAGGACGGCGGTCATGGCGTACAGGTTAATCAGGATGTCCGCCATTCGCTTCATGGCCAACTGCTCTTCCACGATAGTCTGAGAAAACACAGAAGACATCACTGGAAATTCACAGCCACCTTCAGCACATGCTGATGTCCTCGGTCTCTAAATGGGACTTGGAAGAGCAAAAACTACCACGTAGGGAGGGAACCAACCCAGATTTCAGCAAATGCTGCAGCACTACGGAAAGGGGGGAGACTGAGGGCAGGTCAGCTCCAGGAGAGAGCCCTCAGAGCGGGGTCTTCAGCACACTCCCTCCTTTAGCCCCTCAGCACGTCCTGCGGTCTGCTTCTTCAAGCTACTCAGATGCAGCCCTGGCTGCAGAGAGAGCTTTATCCGTGGCTGGAGGAGGCCCTTGTCCGATCCCCTACACGATTCCCTCCTGGGGAATGAATGTGAGAATCCCACACAGGGTTGGCCTTGCAGGGCCGTCCAGGCCTCGGCCTCCGGGGGAGTTTTTCTGCAGAAGGACCAAGTGAGAGCCTCCTTGCCCTAGGTTAGTCTTGACATGCTGAGATGATTAAACCCTCCCAATTGAACCTTTCACAACCAACGGACTTGACATGCTGTATGAGTCGGGTCTTTGTTGGCTATAAAGATGGAGCAATCTCCCTAATTTCTGAGAGAGAAGGAGATCTGATGGCCCCAAACATTCGAGATGTTTTTGAAATCCCCATGGTGATAATGAAAGCTCTACTAAAGTCTTTCTGCTTAAATCTAGGATAGACCTGAGGATGAGTAAGGCCCAATCCTTGCCCCGAGAGACTCAGAATTTAGTAGGCAGAATCAACTACACACAGGAATGGTGAGAATGCCACATGTGCTCAATGAACAGGCCACAGGGAAGGACCATTCCCGAGAGGGAAGATGAAGGCAGGCTTTGGGTTAGAGGCAGCAGTACCAAGCCTGGGCCCTGAAGGACAGGTGGGATTAGAACATTCTAAGTGGATTCTCTTCCCTGTTATCAGTTGGTGGTGACCTCGGCCCTGTCAGTGTCACTCTCTGACTCCCTCCCGGGCTGAGACGAGGAGCATGCTGTGTGGAAAAACCTAGCCCGTCCCGTGACTGAAAACTGCTGTAATGAGAGCATTTAGAAAGGGCAGCGGCGGCTCTCGCACAAGCTGCTCTGTAACCTTGCAGAACGGCGGGCGTTTGTGCTCCGAAGTGAAGAGCTTTTCTGCAGGGTTGAAGCTGACTTGCGGTGACTTCTCAGCCCTGGTCCCTTTGCTGGACAGATGCGTCACTGACCAACGAGAGGGTTAGTTACCTTGCCAAACCGCCTTAGCAGCACCTCCACCGTTCTCCCAAAATAATACACATTTTCTTCCAGTCGGTTTGCACTCTCCTATGAGGGAAGCAGAACACACAGCTGCAGAGTTCATAACTTGGAAAAGGGAATGGAATTTAACACCACTTAATCACCATGACTCTGGGTGCAAACCAGAGCAGCACCACAGTCCCCCATATCTCCTGGGTTCCCACCCAGACTTTTCGTGTTCCCACTTGTGTGGCACATGGGAACTGGAAGTGTGGATATCAAGACTAGCCTTGCCACAGCTATCACTCCCCACAGATGGGCACTGTCTGCAGAGTGGGCACACTGAGTAGTTGGGGTAGCAAATAATCAAGCTTCAAGCGACTTGCCCACCAAATAGAATCCATTTTGTGGCTACTATTTTTTGCATTTTTCTATGGCCTCAAAAAGAAAGATCTGGCATTCTTAACTCATTTTATGCTCACTTTATCATTTTTTCCCTGTAAGGTAGATTAGCTTCTTAAGCGCTAATCAAACAAAAATTACAACCTCCCTCAATTGGGGTTTCTCAGGAAGAATCATTCCCAAAAGTAAAAGGTTGTACACATTAAATCAAATTTTAAAATAAAAAAAAGTCTGTTAGTTTTGTGCCTAATTTTATTAATTTCTCTAAGAAGATTTTTAAAAAGGGTTCTTCAGTAATGCAGATATGTGACTAGACAGCTGGAAGAGGAACCTTCTCCCCCAGTCCTGTGGGTGTAGATGAGCATGTGATCTATAAGTTAAGATCCTGTGATCTGAAGTAACTGTGCCAAATGAATTTAATTTGAGGGAGGAATTAATGGGAAATTTGGAAAGAAATGATTAGAAAAATAGTGTACAATTAATAAGCAAAACAGTAGTGGGATAAAAACAATAGGTCATCTAGATCTGTGGACTAAGGACACTTGAGTAAGCCAGACAGAACTTGAACAGATTGTTAAGGGAGAGGAAAAGGTAAGTGGGTTGGGATCTCCCATATAAAAAGGTATCAAAGAGATGAATGAAAAAAAACAAAACAAAACACCAAAACTGTGTTCAAAGTATCGTAGGATTTAGAACCAGAAGAGGCCTTGACAACATCTTGTCCGGGGGTTCCTTCAAATGCAGCAAATGAATCTGTCTTGTGGTAAGGATAGGGAGAGAGCCCAGGGCTACCCCCTCCACCTAACCTAAACCTCAGGGGTGCTGGCCTAGGACAAAGCATTACACACACCCCCTCTCAATGGATTATCGCTAGCCTCTTGGAGCTCCACCCATCAGTGTAAGCCATCCTCACCTCCACACTGGGATGCACCACTCCATCTCTTCCCGTCAGACCAAGACTGACCTTCCTGTTCAGGCTATCTCCAAGTATGGCTGACACATGTTCCATTGCAACACGCAAGTTCCCCTTCTGCAGATCCCTGAAATGAGATCCACAAACCACCTCAAAAGCCAGGCACCAATGTTCTGTGCCAGTCATGGCCAAGAGTTCTGACAAAGGATGATGACGGCTTATTTCTAAAAACAGCATTTCAGCAGAAAGGCTGTTTGTTCAAAATACACCCCACAGATTACCCGCAATCCAGATCCTTTGTTAACACAAAGTATCATCCAAGCCCGAGACATTCGTTTGTGCTAAGAGCGACAGTTTATGGAAAGTGTAATTCCAAAGCATTTTGCTTTCATAGTGACTGAGGACAAAGGGCAGATGTTATGATCTTCATTTTACTGATAAAGAGACTGGGGCTCAGGAAGCATAAGAGGTTTGCTTAAGGCCACACTGGAAGATGTGTATTATTCTGGGAGCGCAGTTGGCAAGGTAACTAACCTTCTCCTCGGTCAGTGACACACCTGTCCAGTGAAGGGACCAGTGCTAAGAGGTAACTGCAAGCCAAGACAGCTCATACCCTGCAGGACGTGAAGAAGCTGGGCCTTCAGCTCAGGAATTCTAACTCCAAAAGCTGCTTGAATAATCCGACCCTAGAAGCTCACCTGCCCCTGCTAAAAAGGTGATTATTGGTCACATCTTATTAAGAGTCAATGTGGTGTGAGGAAACGACACAGGGCTTGGAGTAAGGATGCTCTGGGTCCAAATCTAGCTGTAGACACATAATAACAGTGTGACCAAGGGCATATCAACCTCTCTGAGCCTCATCTGTAAAATGAGGATAAGAACTATGCCACAAGCCTCAGGAAGTCATGTTGAGGATCAAATGGCATCTATAGTCATATGAAAAAATGCTCTAAATCACTATTGATTAGAGAAATGCAAATCAAAACCTCTCTGAGGTACCACATCATACCTATCAGATTGGCTAACATGACAAAACAGGAAAATGATAAATGCTGGAGAAGATATGGGAAAACTGGAACACTAATGCATTGTTGGTGGAGTTGTGAAATGATCCAACCATTTTGGAGAGCAATTTGGAACTATGCCCAAAGGGCTATAAAACTGTACATACCCTTTCACCCAGCAATAGTACTTCTAGGGCTGTATCCTAAGAGATCATCAAAATGGGAAAAGGAGCCACATGTACAAAAATATTCATAGCACCTCTTTTTGTGGGGGCAAAGAATGGGAAATTAAGGGGATGCCCATCAACTGGGGAATGGCTGAACAAGTTGTGGTATATGAATGTAATGGAATACTACTGTGCTATAAGAAATGATGAACAAGCAGACTTCAGAAAAACCTGGAAAGACTTGTATGGTCGGATGCTGAGTGAAGTGAGCAGAACCAGGAGAACGCTGTACACAGTAACAGCCATGTTGTGTGATGACTAATATTGATAGACAGCCCTTCTCAGCAATACAAGGATCAAAGACATCTCCAGAGGCCTCATGATGGAAACTGTTATCCGTATCCAAAGAAAGAACTATGGAATTTGAATGCAGATCGAAGCACATTATTCGGTCTCTCTTTTCTTTTTGGTTTGTTTGCTTCTTCTTTCTCATGGTTTCTCCCATTGGTTATAGTTCTTTACTACATGACTAATGTGAAAATAGTTTCAATACAAATGTATATGTAGAACCTATATCACATTGCATGCTGTCTTGGGGAAGGGGGAAGGGAAGAGATGGAGAGAAAATTTGGAACTCAAAATCTTATGGAAGTGAATGTTGAAAACTAAAAACAAATGAATAAATTAATTAAAAAAAAAAAAAAGTAGGAAACAGCAACGAGGAATAAGAAGATGCTAAGGCCTATGAAAGTTTCTCTAAGTAGTTTTAGACCTGCTCACTCAGAACCTGAAGTTTTGGAGATGAGGGGAAAGGGAGCAACCCCCCTCTCCCTTCAGATCCATAGTAGTGGTCTCTATCGCTCCTATGGATCCAGACTTTGGGTTAGGTGAAGATAAGGGGAGAGGGGAGACAACTGAGGTCTGTTCCTTCTTCTTCTTGGCTAAAACCAGAGCTGGGGGACTAAGCAAATAAGAGTTCAGTGACCAAAAGCATTTGGCCCTTTGGAAGCTCCAATACCAGAAGCACACATACCTGATTTTCTTCCTTAAGACTTGGCCTGCGTACTGTAATCCTGTCATGGCAATATACATGCGGAGGATCTCATTTGTTCCCTAAAAAGACAAAACACAGAGTTATGAAATGCCAATTAAAGGCTTTCAAATGCATCTCCCCAAACTGGTAAGAAGAGCTCCCAGAATGTTAAAGCAGCTCAATCAATTGATATTAATAAATTTACTTCAGCATTGAAAGCTGATGATGTAGCCAATAAGAGGCCAACTGCTTTTGCTATTGAAGAAAACCTGAAGAAGCTGAGAATGCAAAACATGAGCAGTTTCTTTCTCCAACCAGATGACCAAAGTCCCTGCCCTGCAGCCATACCAGGGGCCTGGGAGCAAAGCTGAGAAAACCTGATGGAGGCTCTGCCCAAGATGTGAGCTTTAATTCCCCTCTGCTTATCTTGTCAACAGCGTAAACAGACATGAAGATGTTTTATTTCTTTCTCTAATACTTCAAGAGATCCCTCACATTTCATGGAGCTGAGAGGTCTCCCCTCGACTCTCAGTCTGAGGACTGTTTTCATAACTGAACAGCCTCACAAGTGCTGCTACTTCTACCATCAACTCAAGCTTGGATTCCCATCCTCCATTAACAAAGGAGCCCAGGTAAGCTCCCAGGGCAATGGCAGGTGGGGGTGTCAGTCCAGCTAGAAATCACCGTGCAAAATCTATCATTTACAGGATTTGGCTCAAGGACTCGAGACAAAAAGGCCTGTGACTGAAGTTCAGTGGACTGGATTCACAATGGAAGGTTTATGGGTAGGGGAGAAGCGAAGCTTCGACCTTCGGTGTTTTTGATGGTTTAAAAGCAATGGAGCAGAGGATGTGATTGATAATAATCCGAGAACTAATCACAAAACAAAAAGCCTGAAGACTACAACTCACAAAGAGTTCAAACTCACTGGGTCCCTATGGAAATTGTGGGTCTGTGGCCAGACAAAGCTTCATGGTAAACACAGAGTAAGTCTAACAGGCCTTGGTTGGTCCTCAAGGGTTAATACTACCCCTGCTCTCGGCCAAATGGAAAAATGGATGGGGGCCTTGTCTCTGTGCTCTCTACCCTAACCCACATGCTCCCAACACAAACCTTTGAGATTTTTTTTAAGCAGTGAAATTCTATTATGAAGGGACTGCCTGGATGCTCAGCCCTGCAAGAAATGTAAGAGGAGAAGACATCATTATGTTCTCAGTGAACCTGTATGAGAAGACAGGCACACAAGAAGTGAGAAGGTATATAAAATGCTTCATCACCGTTAAAGTAATCTTTAAGTGTCTATAAATGCCAATCTCATGAAATGGCTACAGAACAAGATGGCTGATCTGGGCTAACTCTGTGTGTGTGTATGCAAGCTTCAGCAGTCCTTATAATGACCTTAGCAGTGCTGCCATCACTGCAATATCGTAAGGCTCTTTGAAGCAAACAGACTGAGCCCAGGTGCTGAGCACACTTCTGCATCCCACGCAGCTTTACCTACATTACTCTTCCAAAGAAAGCCCTGAACCTCTCCTAAGAGGGGGATAAAATGAACTTCCAGACCAATCCAGAGGTATGAGCATCAGCCTGAATCGAGTAACTGAGGGGCATGCCTGGAGTAGGATAAAAGACCTGGGACATATTAAATGCTGAAAGGATCACAAAGCTTTTAGTAAGAGACATGGAGATGCAGGGATCTCTCAAGCTCTGACTGTGACCAAGGCAGAACATTTGCTGGTCCCTGCTTTGAAACTGTCCGGGTCTAGTCATGTGTTTCAAAGCAAGACTATACACTAGACAGATCCCCAGTTTCACCAGTGGTGAGTGCTCCCCTTCACTGACAAAGAGTGAGGCCTTTCTGCTCCTCCCTCTATCAGTCTTGTCCACGGAGCCTTCCTCTTGGACCATCGGGCAGTAGCGGTGGCACTAATTCCAATTTACACTGACAAAGCCCTCTGCGTTCATCCTTCTCTCAACTGATCCTCACAACTACGGGGCAAAGCATGAGGAAGCTCAGGGGAGGAGCTGGAGCTCGTGAAGGTCACAGACAGCAGAGCTGGAGCTCTCATCTCCAGTCCAGGGAGCTTCATCCTCCCCTTACTGCTTCCCTCTCCCAAGCCTGAGGCAGGGTTCATTTATGTTTCTGGTTCATAAAGCCTAGAAAATGTCATAATAAAATAAGAATATCAACAGATGCCAAAACATTACTTTTCCAATTTGGAAATAACTTAGTAAAAGACCTCACATTGACCTTATCTTTCCTGAACTCTTATAGTAATTAGTCTGAATCATATGATTTAGCATGACATTATACTTGTCTTGTACTGTGGTCCCTAACAGAAGAGGAATTCAAGGGCAGGGACTTCTGCCCCACTTTTCCTGCTCTCTCCTCACATCTAGCACAGGGCAAGGCACACAAATGAGGTTCAATCAGAACCTGTGAACCTGCTGCCCCTCTTAGAGCAGCCTCACTGCGTACCTCCAGCCCAGTGTTCCAATAACCATTCAAACAATCACTGGGCAGGACAAAGACACAAGTCCTGCCCCTGGCACTCCCTGATGTTGTGTTAGCACAGCTGTCCAGGAGAAGCTAATCACAGCATCTTTATTTATGGAACTTCTCAGGAGTATTTTACCATGCCAGGTACCCTCCCTGTTGGGAAAGGAATCGAGTGAGCTGGGCAGCTGAACACAGAAGGGATATGGGGAACTGAAGAAATCAGCAAGCATTTACTAAGTGCCTATTACACACCAGGTGCTGGGAACACAAAGATAAATGAAACAGTCACTGTTCTCAAAGAGATTAGAGAAACAGCATGTATATATGTACATTAGGTTAATAGGAGGGAGGGCACGAGCTACTCTGAAGACCAGCAAAGGTTTTGTGCAAAAGGTGTCACTAGCTCAGAGCTTCTAAGTGTCAGAAGTGTGGTCAAAGTATGTTCCAGGCACGTGGCACAACGGCCAGAACAGCAGTCAGGAGAAGTAGTAGGCCGGACAGTTGGGCTGGGCTTTAAGAGCCCAACAGAGGGGTTCATATTTGCTCCCGGGGGCAAGGAGCCACCGGAGTTTGCTGAGTAGAGGAATGACATAATCACACTTGGATTTTAGGGCAATCTCTTGAGGAGATGAAGAGAAGACAGACTGGAGAAGGCAAAACCAATTAGGAGGCTAGAGCAACAGTCCAGATGAGAGGCAATGAATGGAGCCTGAACTAGGGAATGAGCAGGGAGAAGGGGATGGATGGGAAAGGGAGAACAGAAATCTGGCAAAGGAATAGTGGACAGGTGGGGCGAGGAGGAGGAAAGAGTCCAGGAAGCCACAGAGGTCGTCAACCTTGGTGACTGGTAGGAAGGGTGGGGGGCCCTGACAGAAACAGCAAAGTTCAGAATGGGAGGGCAGGCTTTGACTTTGAAATGCCTCTGCGACACCTCGTTTGGAATATTCCATAGGCTCTGAGGAGAAACTAGGGCTGGATATACAGATCTGAAAGTTACCTTGATAGCCTAGAAAAAGTGAGTGTAAAGAGGGAAAAAGAAAGGCACACAGGACTGGCCCCTGGAGTCCACCCACAGCAACGAGTCATGCTATGGATAATGAAGCTTCTCACTGTGAGCTCCTGGAGGATGGGACTGCATATGCAGCCTTTCTTTGTGCTTGGCACAGTGCCTGGCATACAGTAGGCACTTAATAAATGCTTGTCGATTTGACTTGATTCAAGGAGATTCAGTAGGAACAGTCGGACAGGTAAGAGAACCAAGAGGCAGTGTTACGAAAATGCAGAAGGAAGAGAAGATGGTCAGCAGTGTGGAACACTGCAGAGACACCGAGAAGGATGGCCCTCAGATCTGGCATTTAAGAGATCACTGGCAACTTTTGGAAAGAGCAGTACTAATCAGTGAAGAAGTGGAGGCAACCAGTGTAGACAGCTTCTTCTAGGTATTTGGCTAGGAAAGGGAGGAAAGACAGAGGATGAACTGAGGGGATGGTAAGGGCTAGTGGGCTTTTTCCAGGATGGTAGACACTTAGCCCTATTTGGGGGCAGCTGGGAAAGAATCAGTAGATAGAGACTGAAGATTAGAGACAGTGGGGGGATTATAGGGAACAATCTGCTGGAGAAGATGGGGGAGGATGGGATTAAGGGTATGTATAAAAAGGTTAGTATCCGCAAGAATGGAGAGACTTGAGCAATGGAGAGAATAGAATTGATGTCAAGGGGCTCTGGGATATAGAGAAGATGGAGCTCATTTTCTCCATAAAGTATGAGGCAAGGTACTCAGCGGAGAGAGAAGGGAGAAGCCACTGTGGCAGAGCTGAGAAAAAAGAGGTTTGAAATAGCTTTTGTACGGGGTGAGACAGAGAACGAAGGAGGGAGGAATAAAGAGACTGTCTAGCTTTCGGGGAGGGGCCAGTTGAGATGGGAGAATATCAACGTGAAGGGAGCTCAGGATTGGCTGTGTTAACTTCTTCCAGCTTAGTTCAGCCACATGAGTTGGACTGGAGGAGGCAGATGCTGTGGTTTGGCGAGGACCAAACTTCCTACAGGGCAGGAGGATAAGGGAGCTGAGAGCTGAAGGTTCCTAAGAAGTTATGGGTGTGTTTCCTTTCGGCCAGTCATTTCCAACTTTTTACTCACACATCCCTATCGTTAAAAAAGCTTTGAGCGTGTACTCCCAATATGTGTATTTATTTCCTTGTCACTTAAACTTCAGTGCTCTGGTATATGAATGTAATGGAATACTATTGAGCTATAAGAAATGATGAACAGGCAGACTTCAGAAAAACCTGGAAAGACCTGTATGGTCTGATGCTGAGTGGAGTGAGCAGAACCAGGAGAACAGCCACGTTGTGCGATGACTGACTTTGATAGACTTACCCCTTCTCAGCAATGCAAGGATCTAAGACATCTCCAAAGGTCTCATGATGGAAAATGCTATCCACATCCAAAGAAAGAACTATGGAGTTTGAATGCAGATCGAAGCATACTGTTTGCTCTTTTTTTTCTTTTGTTTTTGTTTCCTCTTTCTGGTGGTTCCTCCTATCGGTTCTAATTCTTCCTTACAACATGAATAATGTAAAAATATGTTTAATAGGAATGTATGTGTAGAGCCTACATCAGATTACACACCGTCTTGGGGAGGGAGGGAGAGAAAAATTTAAAACTCAAAAGCATATGGAAGAGATTGCTGAAAACTAAAAATAAATTAATTTAAAAAACCAAACTTCAGTGCTCTAAGCAGCTCTCTAAGACTATGAGTTGCAGAGAAGGTGCTGGACCTGCACTGGTGGAGGGAATTGCCTCATCTGGGAGTTCCCTATACCAATGAAATCAGGGGTCTAATCCCTATCATTAGCCACATACTACTGTACTAATAATTATGCATATTATAACATTTAAAATTATTTTAAAAGATGAAATAAAATGAAATAATAATTTTTGATCCGAGATTCAATAGGGATCCACTGGAGTTTACAGGCTCAGGATGTGACATGATTGGATCCACACTGCAGGAAAATCTCTTTGGCAGCTGTGTGTGGGATGGACTGGAAGAGGGAAACACTTGAAGTAAGGAGACCAATTAGGAGGCTGCTGCAATAGTTCAGGCAAGAGGTGAAAAGCTTCCAAACTAACTTGACAGCTGTGAAGAGAGGTAGTGTTGTTCAGCAGTTATCAGTCGTGTCTGACTTTTTGTGACCCATTTGGGGTTTTCTTGGCAAGGATACTGGAGTGGTTTGCCATTTCTTTCTCAGCTTATTTTGTAGATGAGGAAACTGAGGCAAATAGGGTTAAGTGACTTGCCCAGGGTCACACAGCTAGGACGTGTGTGAGGCCAGATTTGAATTCACAAAAATGAGTCTTTCAGGCCTGGTGCTCTGTGCACTATGGCGCCAAGAGAGGGAGACAGATATAAGTGGTATCTTGAAGGTATAAAAGTCAAGATTTGGCAACTTAATGGATATGAGGGACAAGTGAGAGTTGGGAGTCAAACATGATGTGAAGGTTGTGAGACAGTAATAGGAAAGTTGGGGGGGAGGAGGAATACTGTGATTGGTGGGAAAGATAAGGTCACTGCTACAGATTACGCCTCGTTCACACCTCCTCATCCATAAGCGGATGCCCTCCGTGGGGGAGGTAGGGCTCCTACCATCTGGTTACCATCCCCCAGGACAGATCCTGCCCTCTGAGTAGGGAAGGTTGTGGTAGGGACAAGTCCACTGAGTGATTATGGGCAGTGTGTGTGTGAGAGAGATGGAACCTGTCTTTCCACCCTCTCACCGATTTCACATCCTTTGGAGTCAGGCCAGCCTGTGGGTCAGGTTCTAGCCAACCTTCCATCATCATACATTCAGATTCTAGGCCTCAAGCTCTTTATAATGTCATTCCTGGAACCCGACTCAACACTAAGCTTTCTTTGGTTTCCACAAAACCTAGAGAATCATGCTATTCTGTAGAAGACCGGGAATCTCCATGATCTCAAGATGATATGAAGTGATCTCCCACTTTTCAGACACACTCATATCTGTATTCTGCTTACTCAAGGTGGCCTATGTCTCATTTCTTGTTGCCTTTATTCTCCCACTTGGCTTCCTTGGAAGACCAAAGATATGAAGGAAACAGTACACACACACACACACACACACACACGCACACACATGCACACAAGCACAGTCAGAATACAGCATGTGTGTTAGCTAAGGTTTCATCCAAGATCACTTTAAGATGCAGCCTCAAAGGACATACACTGCACTTCAAAATATGGGCAGACCACTTGTAAACAATTTACTTTTCTTTTCCAGCATCCCTTAGACATTTGCTGTGAGTAAAACCTGGAGGGGAGCTAAGATGACAGCAGCATATATGCTCAAAGGGTGTGAGGGGAACAGAAAGAACACAGGAAATCTTGAGACATAGATATTATATATTTACAAACCTCAAATCCTAACCAACATAAATCAGGCATGCTGAGCCATAGTAAATGCTGTAGATACATGAGTAAAGTGAAGGAATGGCCAATTCCACTTCATTAGAAAATATTATTGATAGAAGAAAGTACTCTATTTATTAGGAGCTTATGGTCTTGAGAACATATTACTATAATGCTACAAATAGGGCTTCCTTTTCCGATTGGCTTAAATGGGATTAAAACCATATCCCAGACATCCATCTTCATAGCACTGTGATGCATGCCTGCTCATTTACAAGCTTCCTGAATTGTGAAAAGCAAATGGATTCCCTTTTCTCAGGCACAAGATGTACAAAATAAGGAGTAAGCAATGTGGCCCCACTTCTCTAGTGTCATGTTTCATTTTTAAAAGAAAATTTTTACCCAAAGAAACAATAAGAAAATGAGTTCTCAATGGGATGTCAAGGAGTAACTGGAAGAAAAGAAATCTAGTACTCAATCCCTTGTGTAATTATTGGCATCCTTTGATCTACATCTATAGCTCACTCCTAAAAAACCACATGTAGAACAAAATTGTGAGTGCAGACTCCCTTTCTTCTGGAGATTTATTTTATTAAAAATAAATGTTTCTGTGGAAAGGAATCTATCATAGACTTGCTTCAAAAATGGCTAGTGACAAAAGGATTAAGACTGGGCCTATTCTTATAGTGCACTAGATGTTGTGGAATTTGCTGTAATTATGCACAGCAGGGAGTGGCCCTGACAGGCTTAAGTACAGTTAGTTACATTGCTTCTGAAAGCCCACCCAAAACCCTGTACCCTCCCCACCCTGGGAGCTCCACTTTGCCAGGCTCTGGCCACCAATTTTTTTTTTTTTTGAGGCAATTGGGATTAAGTGACTTGCCCAGGGTCACACAGCTAGTGAGTGTCTAAGGCCAGATTTGAACTCCCCCTGACTCCAGGGCTGGTGTTTTGTCCACTGTGCCTAGCTGCCCCTTCTGGCCACCATTCTTGCAAACACTTTCAGTAGAGGCTGATTCCAAGATGATATTATGAGGACCCTCCCAAATACCCAGCTTTGAGAGTGCAGGTAATTTTATAATAAACTGATCTAATCCAACAAAATGTTACTAAAAAAACTAACTGCTATCGTTAAGGCAACATGCTAGACACTAGGAGAACAGCAGCATGCTGAACTGGCTAACTACAAGGTCAAGACTCTGAAAGGAAGAAAGGAGATGGAAGGGGGGATGCAATGGGAGGTTAGGGAACAAATAATAACAGCTAACACGGATATGGAAAGTTGGCAAAGCACTTTACATCCACTACCTCACCTGATCCACAACAATCCTGTGAGCTATGTGCCATCGTCCCCATTCGATAGACACAGAAACTGAACCTGAAAGAGTTTAGGTGACCTTCCCAGGTTCTCACAGCTGGTAGGTGTCAGGGGCAAAATCTGAACTCAGATATTCCTGATTCTGAGTCTGAAGCTCTATCCACTGGGCCAAGATTAGGCGAAGATCAGAGGATGCAGCGAAATGAATGAAAGGATTGCCATGAAGGTAGACAGCGAGGCAGTGGGAGAAGCGGAAGGAGAGGAGACTGTGATGAGAAAGGGGGATTCAGAGATTTCGAAACTACATCTGTGGAAGAGATGTGCTGAGGGTAAGAGCTGAGGCTGATGCCCTGCTCACACTCATCACAGACTTCACAGATGATGGTGCTCCATTTCCACATTCACGATTCCCACCCCCATTATGAGCACTCTTCTCCCTCTTGAAATTACTTTGTACATCTCCTGTCTTTACTATTTTGGGTAGAAGTTGTGTTCCCAAAGTAGAACGCAAGCTTCCTGAAAGCAGGATCTGTTCCGTTTTTGTCCTCATGTCTCGTTTACATGGCAGGTGCTTAACACACATTTGCTGAGTTGAACTGAACAATGAGGGATAAATCAGGAAGGAGGGAGGGGACAATAAAGAGGAAGAAAAGGAGCCAGGTTTATTGACCTACCAAGTGCCATATACTTACCTTCAGAAACTTAGAAGCCACAAACCAGACAGGTTGTACACCTGTGCTGGTTCCTTTAAAATGTCCATCCTAACAATAAACAACAAAACCAGAGAGCCCTGACTCCAGGTCCAGAACTGCCCGACCTCACTGGTATTGTATCTCCACAATCCCCAGTCCTGTCCGGGTTCAACACTCACAGCCCTTGATCGTACAACTGTCTGGAGTCTCCTCCTCATGGTCCAGCTTGTTCCTCGGTGACTCCCCTTCCTTCTGCCCCTCTAGCTTTCCAGCACTGAGGATTCTTTCTCAAGGTGCTGAAACCTTGAGCTTGAGAAAGCCGAGGTGCTGTACTAAACTCCACGAGCAAATATCCAAAATGTGAAAAAGCGATATCTACCTTCTGCTCTAAATAAAGGGAGACAGTGGACTGGAAGATTGGCCTTCCAGTCAAAAAGCTCTGGATCTGAGTCCTGACCCTGGGCAGGCCATCTAACCCCCATCTCCTCACCAGCAATCGAGGAATGACATTTCCATTACAGAGATGTTGTGAGGCTCACAGAAGATGAACAAACATAAAGTATTCTACAGCTTTAAAGTTCTACACAGCCATAAGCTATTATTTTTTAAAATCAAGAACTGTGTGCTGCCTTTTGTTCACAAAGACATTACGGTAAGACGTGAACTTTGTGTTGTGCTTCTAAGCGTGGGCCGGGATTTACCCTGAGCCACCTAAACTTTCCATGTCCCATTCCAACAAATGGCATTATTTTGCTAGGACAGAAACATCTAGCCACATAAGCATCCTCCATGACTGGGGGACAAACCCTATGCATTTAAGCTCATCCACATTGTTCTCCAAGCATCTGAACCACCTGGACTGGACTCTTCAAAACTTAAAGCCAATTTACCAGAAGAACCACACAGTATGCCATCCAGGAGGCTGAAATCAGAACAAAAGCTAAGTCCTCTCTGACGTTCCACTAGCTAGGAAAGGGAATATAGATTTTCAGAATACATATTCCACTACAATCAGAAGAAATGGTGATTGTGGCAAGTGTAAAACTCAAGACATACCTCAAAAATCAGCAGAATCCTGGAGTCCCGGAGATAGCGCTCATAGGGATAATCTTTCATGTATCCCAGGCCTCCAACAATCTGCAGGGCTTCGCTCACACAAGTCCAGGCTGCTTCAGAGCTGAACACCTACGACAAGTGACAAAGTTGCCATCTTGGCCTTGCTGCATGTACATGTCACTAGGTACTGACAGCAGGGTCCAGATGTAGCAAAGGATGTTGTTAGATGAGAGATAGAAATCTCACTTCTTTCATGGAATATTCTCTGAATATGAGAGTCCTCCCAGACCACCACATTCTATGAACTTTTAATTCCTTCGCAGTCTGCATCATTTAATCATACAACGTCCTAGTACGGTTCAATGTTGTTTCATGTGTGTTAGTCTTGTGACTCCAACCGGCCTACAAGTTTCTTGAGAGCAAGAACTAGGTCTTGTATCCTGAGAACACTGAGGCACTGAATGCCTATGAATCCACAGACATTCCATAAATGACTGATTGGAAGGATTAAAAAAATGAGGGTGGAAAAGCTGAGATCAACAGAGTGGGACTGGGATGGCCCATGGTGGGATAAAAAATAAAAGCTGTTAAAGATGTGTCTACAATAAGTAAACCACGTAACTGTGGGCAATCCTTGCATTTCTCTGGGCTTCACCCAGAAGACCTGTAATGTCTCTTCACATCATGGGAGTCTTCACATCTTTCTTTCAGCCTCTCAAAAACCAGAGTTTAGGCATAGATCAAAATCTTACACCATATACCAAAATAAAGTCAAAATGGGTTCATGATTTAGACATAAAGGCTGATACTGTAAGCAAACTGAGAGAGCAAGGAATAGTTTACCTGTCAGATTTATGGAGAATGGAAAAATTCATTACCAAACAGGAGATAGAGAATATTATGAAATGCAAAATGGATAATTTTGATTACATTAAATTGAGAAGATTTTGCACAAACAAAGCCAATGCCACCAAGATTAGAAGGGAAGCAGAACACTGGGAAAGAATTTTTACATCCAGTGTCTCTGATAAGGGCCTCATTTCTAAAATATATAGAGAACTAAGTCAAATTTTTAAGAATACAAGTCACCCCCCACTGATAAATGGTCAAAGGATATGAACAGGCAGTTCTCAGATGAAGAAATTAAAGCCATCTATAGTCATATGAAAAAATGCTCTAAATCACTATTGACTAGAGAAATGCAAATTAAAACAACTCTGAGGTACCACATCACACCTATCAGATTGGCCAACATAACAACACAGGAAAATGATAAATGCTGGAGAAGATGTGGGAAAACTGGAACACTAATGCATTGTTAGTGGAGTTGTGAAATGATCCAGCCATTTTGGAGAGCAATTTGGAACTATGCCCAAAGGGCTATAAAACTGTGCATACCCTTTCACCCAGCAATAGTACTTCTAGGGCTGTATCCTAAGAGATCATCAAAATGGGAAAAGGAGCCACATGTACAAAAATATTCATAGCACCTCTTTTTGTGGGGGCAAAGAATGGGAAATTAAGGGGATGCCCATCAACTGGGGAATGGCTGAACAAGTTGTGGTATATGAATGTAATGGAATACTACTGTGCTATAAGAAATGATGAACAGGCTGACTTCAGAAAAACCTGGAAAGACTTGTATTGTCTGATGCTGAGTGAAATGAGCAGAACCAAGAGAACATTGTACACAATAACAGCCCCGTTGTGCGATGACTAATATTGATAGACTTAGCCCTTCTCAGAAATACAAGGATCTAAGACATCTCCAAAGGCCTCCATGATGGAAAATGCTATCCACATCCAAAGAAAGAACTATGGAGTTTGAATGCAGATCAAAGCATACTATTTGCTATTTATTTTTCTTCTGTTGGGTTTTGCTTTTTCTTTCTGGTGGTTCCTCCTATTGGTTCTAATTGTTCCTTACAACATCACTAATGTGAAAATATGTTTAATAGGAATGTATACATATAGCCTATATCAGACTGTGTGCCATCTCGGGGAGAGTGGTGGGGAGGAAGGGGGAGATAAATTTTAAACTCAACAGCACATGGAAGTGATTGTTGATAAATCAAAATAAATAAATTAAAAAAAAAAAGAAATGATGAGCAGGCAGACTTCAGAAAAACCTGGAAACACTTGCATGGATGGATGCTGAGTGAAGTGAGTAGAACCAGGAGAATGCTATACACAGTAACAGCCACATTGTGTGATGACTAACCTTTGATAGATTTAGCCCTTCTTAGCAATACAAGGATCTAAGACATCTCCAAAAGACTCATGATGGAAAATGCTATCCACATCCAAAGAAAGAACTATGGAGTTTGAATGCAGATTGAAGCATACTATTTGCTCTTTTTTTTCTTCTGTTTTGTTTCCTCTGTCTGGTGGTTCCTCCTATTGGTTCTAATTCTTCCTTACAACATAACTAATGTGAAAATATGTTGAATAGGAATATATATGTATAGCCTATATTAGATTGCACACTGTCTTTGGGAGGGAGGTGGTAAGGAAGGGGGAGAAAAATTTAAAACTCAAAAGGTTATGGAAGTAATTGTTGATAAATCAAAATAAATTAATAAAAAATTTAAAAAAGGAAAAGGAAAAACAAAAACAAACAAATAAAAAAAAACCATAGCCACCCCACTTTTCCCAGTCACCTTCACCATGGCTGCTTCCATAGAGCAATCCGGAAAACCTGGGCTGTCCATCATCCCAGCAGTGAGGTAGGCCATACTCTCCATCACATATGTTTTCCTGGCCAACAGGGCAAACTTTTCCTGAAGTTAATGAGAACAAACACAAAGACCAATTTACATCTGCTTCTTGAACTCATCTGTAATAAAGACGGGTAAGCAGGGCAAGCAGCTGCATCCTAAAAGAGATCAGAGGTTTTAATAAAGATATTTACATGAAATAAATATCTTTATTTCTATTTTCTAAATCACCATGACAAGCAGCCACCATTACAATGGAGAAAAATTCTCTACTTTTAAAGCACACACTGTCCCCAGCTGAAGTTGACTTTGAGATGAGCAAGGGCAGCTTTTAGTTTCTTAATTACCTGAATTAATCCAAATTCACTTAGAGGTCTGTTGAACTGTTTCCTTGTACAGGCATATTCTGCTGTCTTTCCTTAAGAAAAGAAAGTAGTCATTAAGAAGGATTATTTCCATGTTATCCTGAAATGATTTCCTAAAGTCATCTTCATGAGCTTTCAATTGTATTAGCAGGAGTGACAGGGGATAAATCCATCTCTATCTTCTCAGAAAGGGGAAAACCGCTCAGTTGTATAGGCCAAGGAGTAAGATGAAAAGAAGCCTCCAACATATAGATTCTGAAAAATTTTAAGAAAAGGAAAATAGGGGCAGCTAGGTGGCGCAGTGGATAGGGCACCGGCCCTCGATTCAGGAGGACCTAAGTTCAAATCCAGCCTCAGACACATAACAGTTATTAGCTGTGTGACCCTGGGCAAGTCACTTAACACCACTGCCTAGCCAAAATAAAAAAACAAAAACAAACAAACAAACAAAAAACACTGCCTTTTGTGTTTAGCCACATCAGGGCCAAACTGCTGTCCCAGGTATTCTGGAAACCTGACCAGGCACACTGCAGCCTTCACAAGGAGAGCTGGGCTCCTTCATCAGTCAGTCAATTTACAGTCTCGTCAAGAAAACCTCAAGTGGGGTCACAAAGAGTCAGCCATGACTAAATAACTGAATAAGAACAACAACAAAATCTACATAGGGTGGGGTGCTGTGCACACTTTTCTCTTCTACATACATTCTCTCTGTTTTCCCAAGGAAATTAGATAGTGACCACATCGAAAGATCTGCTACTTTGAAGAACAAGTATGTTTTTCAAGCTCAATCACACTAGAGAAAAAGAAATAATGAAACCAAATCTGAAATATTATTCCTTTTTCAGGTTATTTCTTTCAATAGTCAGCTAAAATGGCCGAGTCTTCTTTCTTTTGGGACCAACCACTTAGTGTGCCAGTGGGACAAATATTCACAAGTTCTTAACTTCATGATGCTTGCTTGACTTACCAATCAACTTCTTCATCATTCCAGCAACTAAACTTCCCATGCTAAATCGTCCACTATTGAGGACATTCATCGCTATCTGTAAGAGGAAGGAAAGGCTTTATTTATTCATCATTAAGAGCTCATCAAATTCCAGAGAAGGATGTGCTAGTAATTGTGTGTGCAATGAGGATAAGATGGCTTCTAACAAAAGCAACAAGCAAGCTTAATACAGGACAAGGTCCACAACCAAAGACTAGACTTAGTTCGGTACCTCAGGCACCAAGGACTTTTTCTGTAGCTTCTGTTTTATGAATCCAGTCCTATCACAGATATGTTAAGGACTGTGAACTAAGAAAATAAACAAACAATTTGAGGAAAAGCACCACTGTGTACAAAGAAGGTGGTGGCCCACAAATTTCAGATGTTGAATTAAGATCATGGCAAATAACCACTGGATTCTACTCAAAGTTCACAGGATTCATAAGAGTCCTCTATTGAGGAAGAAGGTAATATATGTAATAATTTAACATTCATTTATCACTGAAATAATATGCATATATCATAGTCCAAGCCTGCTTTTTAATGATACCACTCATTCGTTTTCGCAAATATTTACCAAGGAGCTACTATGTGCTAAGTGCTATAGGGTACGCAAAGATTCCGAATAAGACAGTCTGCCCAGGAGATCAGAGTCCAGATACAAACACGTACACAAATAACAATGACACCAAGTGCTATGAAGAGACATGATTTAAAGGAAGGAGAGACTTCCATTTCAGTCCAGATCCAGGCTACTTCTGAATAAAGGATGAATCCTTAAAAAGTGACCTTTCCTTTGAAAGGAAAAAATAGAATGAAAAATAATTACACAAATCTATCACATTAAAACATCTATAAAATATGTTTACATTCCTTTCAATTAAAATAAAATAAAAAATTAGTTTGTCTAAGAGTAGTTAGTAGAACCTCAAAATGTTACCCTTCAAATGTAATGGCTGGTAGGGAAGATGTCCTTATGGAAACATTGGGAAATTGTCCATCCCAATTCCTACTGGTCACAACTGCACCTTCCAGGCTTCGCTGGTGGACCAAAGTACATCAGAAATCTTCGGGAGCTGAGATACGTCTGTGCCATGGGCCCCCAGCCGGGCAGGGGGTCTCTGAACACAGAATTAGGTTTTGACAGTTAAGCAAATGGGGGGGCCTGGGAAGGAACAAGTTGATTTCAGGCACTCTAGTTGTCCAAGAGAACAGCCTCGTTCCTCACCCCCCATGTAAACAGGTGCACACTGGTGTGCCATTTTATTCTTTATTGCCACTGCTTTGTCATTTTCATTCTTTCCCTAATTTTTTTTCTATTTCTTTTTTCTGCCTTTGTGTGAGGGGTGAAAGGGCAATGTGAGCAGCAGGTCTAGGAGTCAGGCCATGGGGCCTTTCGGGAATGCAGCAGCTGTTCATGAAAAGGGAAGCTTGTTTACTGCTCCATGGCAGGTTCTCTCCCTCCTCCCTGGCCAGGGACACCCTGCTGTTGTCCTTGCAAGGCTGTGTAACTCAAGCTTCTAGAAACGCTACACAAGGCACCTCTATCTCCACCTCAAGTCCGAGTAGTTGGACAAACAGCCTAACACCAAGGTACCTACTTTTAAATCCTAGATTCCCAGGTTTTTTTTGGGGGGTGGGGTGGGGTGGGTAGACCTTGATAAATCTCTAGTGACTTGTGCAGATGGCAGGGTATTTGGTCAGGCCCATCGGGTACACCTTCCCTTCCACACCTTCAGCTCACCCTCCAAGGATGTGTCACTAGAAAAGTATGTCAGCAAACAGCAGCAGGAGGTAGCTCCTGGGGCTTACGCCACACGGGGTCTAGAATCTGCTTGTACACTCAGTAACTTCATGCCTCAGCAGCTCACCCCAAGACCAGGGGGCAATCGGAGAAGAGCATCTGTCAGACCTCCAAGTGCTTTACTGCCACATGACTTCTTGGAATTCAAGCTGTGCCTCAGGTACAGGCAACAGGAACCATCCAGGGCCCCCAAACATAACTTAGGCAGAGATGCTGAACCAATGTATGCCTGTCTACATGGGGGTAAGGAACGAGGCTGTTATTTTTGAGGACTAGAGCGCCTAAAATCAACTTGTCCCTTCCCTTGCCCCCCATTTGCTTAATTGTCAAAATCTAATTCTGTGTTCTGAGACCCCTGGCTGGCTGTGAGCCCACGGCACAGATGTATCACAGCTCCCAAAGAGGATTTCTGATGTACTTTGGTCTACCAGCGAAGCCTGGAAGGTGCAGTTCTGACCAGCAGGAATTGGCATGGATGATTTCCCAATGTTTCCATAAGGACATCTTCCCTACCAGCCACTGCATTTGAAGCGTAACATTTTTCTTAGACAAACTAACAGCTTCTCATGTTTTCTACCTTGAAGATCATAACTCTTCACTTTGAGCACTGACTTTTGAGTTGTTCTTGACTAGCAAAGGTGTGACCACTCTGAAGACTGGTCACTGCAAAGCCATTCCACCAGGAATAGTCATCAGCTTTGAATTTGAAGATCCAAACTTATTTTTAATGCTGAGGGTCCAAAGTCCTCTAAATGCGTTTAACATTGGCACTATCCTTTTAAAATAGCCCCGAGTCTTTTATTCTATGTGACAAATAACCAGTTGGTCATTAGGTCATTCATCATCTAGCCTTTGTCTTGGTACAATTGCTCTTCCTGGGATTATTTTTTTTTAGAAGAACCTCATTTTTCAGGGAAAAAAAAGTTTTTTCACCTCAGCAGACTACAGAGGTATTGGTAATTAATATTGTTGTAAGGGGCATTTTTTTTCCTTTCCATTTTCCACAGCCTATATGAAGAGGGATTTCACTGTTCTCTTTCCCATGCTTGGCATACTGAAGAATACAGATTTTCCACTAGCACTTTTTCATTTTTCACATCATAGTTATGTTTGTTTCCCCAAAGACCAAGGAGATGTTGTCAGTATTCTAACCATTTCTCTTGAAATTGGTTGGAAATTGCTGAGCTAAAGACATTCAACTAAGAAAAACACTACTTTGCATATATCTTTAGCATCCCCCAAAGTTTGCTTTAAATGCATTTGGAAGCACTTCTAACTTAGTTGTGAGATCTAAAACTTTGATTTGAATGTCAAAAACAGCAGACTGTAATTGCATTTTTTGTCTTGGTTTTATGAAGAAAAGTACACACTAATAAACCTCATTATTCATCCCAGTTAGGCTCCTGAAGTATTGTCCAATAATGTCCTGAATTTTTTCTTCTGTTTTCCAACTAAACACATGCTTTTTTATTAACACTGCATTTCCTTCCTGCTTTCCTGTTTGTAACTTCAACACAGTTAATGACTGCTGTTTGGAAATTCAAGTCAAATGCTATAAATACTCTCCCCTGGTATCATCACCCACATTTTTATAATCTAAAAAGAAAATTTCAACTTCCAATCCTCTCTCACAATGTCACTAGTGTCATCCGTCAAGAACGGCTGGCGAATCTTTTCTTGAGCTAATTCTAGTCTGCACAAGCTCTGCATGGTCCCAGGCATCTCACCTTAAAAGCTGGCTTTTCTCCCTAAGACAGTCATTGCAGGCTGCAATCAGTCTTCATACAAGTGAAAACAGTGGCCTGTGTTCCACCCAATAGATACTTCATGCTGGCAAGTCCCAGGAAGAACTCATGAAGGAGTTATCTTTTGAGCTGGGCCTTGAAGGATGTGAAGGATTTGGACAAGAAGAGACTGAGGGACAAGAAGCTGGAAGATGGGGAGGAGATGTGGCAAACATAGTATAACACAGGGGAATAGTGTAAACAGAGTATAGAAGGCAAACTCAGGAACAGTAAGTGTAGGACATGAGAAGCTAACTGGTAGAAAATAAGGCTGGGCCCAGATCACAGAAGGCCTTGAAAGACATCATGAAATTGATCAATTATCCCAAAAGGTCTAAAGCTCAGTTTCAGCAAAAAGGTCAATAGAGCTGAGTAAAAATAGACATAATACATGTAACTTTTGTCTTAAAAAAGTAAAGTAAAAGACAGTAAGATAGTGATCTTGACCCTGCAGTAAAACTTGATGGGATAAAGTAATTACGTCTTCTTCAAACTTATAGGGGCACGGGAGTTTAGATTTGGAAGGGTCCTTAGCAATCATCTCTTTTACAGATGAGGGAACATACACAGAAAGGTTAAATCATTTACCAAGGTCACACTGGCAGAAAGAAGAGCCTGAATTTAAAACTAGGTCTTTGGACTACAAGTTGAACCTTCTTTCAGAGACCATTAGGGTTCACTGGGAAAGGGTGGCAGACAAGGTGGTGCCAGCCAAGAGGCACTTATGAGAACAATCTACACAGTTCCAGATATGCATCTGACTTCATCATCAAAATCTAGAAGTCTGTAACAGGAAAAGAGCCAGTTAGCTTTCCACAAAGAATCTGCAGCAATCAGGGGATCAGCATGGAAACAAAGCTTGGGGCAAAACAATTTTCCAGGACTGAAGATGTCTGAATTGTAGAAAACTGCAAAATTCTCAAGAACCTTTTTTATAATGAATTTAAGTGAGAAAACCTCATGTTGTTCAGTCGTTTTCAGTCATGTCCGATTCTTTGGGACCCCATTTGGGGTTTTCTCGTCAAAGATACTGGAGTGTCTGCCATTCCCTTCTCCAGTTCATTTTACAGATGAGGAAACTGAGGCCAACAGTGTTAAGTGACTTGCCGAGGATCACACAGCTAGTAAGTGTCTGAGGCTGGATTTGAACTCAGGAAGATGACTCTTCCTGACTCCAGGCCCAGTACTCTATCCAACTGTGCCACCTAGCTACCTAAAGAAGCAAAAATGAATGAAAAATGTACTTTAAGGGAAAACTGAAGTACAATTTTGATTATAATAGCACTCAGAAATGGCACGGCTCTTCTTAGGCTAACCATAAATCAGAGCTAACGAAACAATTGACAGCTCCAGGCTCCAGAAATAATAGCTCCAGCTTTTAGTCAGGCGGACCATCTTTAGAGGCATGAAAAAGTGGATGTCCATATAATATATAACATAATATTACGTATAATAATTAACCTTGCTTTAAAAGATCCACAGATCTCTCTAGTCCCCTTACAGGTGCCAGGAGGTGCGTGGTTAATAGGATGCCTGTTGAGAAACTGATTCCTCTCGCCACACAGATTATGAATGTCCTGTCCCTCCTGTTTCTTCCTCATCTGTTTTGGTTTCTTCCAGCAACATGTAGACAAATCACAGGCTTTAGAATTGGAAGAGATTTTAGAGAAGATCTAGTCTAACCTCTCATGGAGCAGATGAGGCCACAGAGACTAAGGCAGGTCAAGTGACTTGACTTTGCTGTCACAAAGCCATTAAGAAGCAGAGGGAGGATTCAAACCCAGGTTCTGATTTCGTTAAAATAATAATGAGAGCAACAACAAGCATTTGCATAACACCTACTATGTGCCAGACACTGTATTAAGCACTTTATGGATTATCATCTCATTTGATCTTCACAACAACCCTGTGAGGTAAGTGCCATTATTATCCCCATCTTACAGATGAGGAAACTGAGGCAAACAGATGCTAAGTGATTTGCCCAGGGTCATACAGCTACTATGTGTCTGAGACAGAATTTGAATTCCAATCCTCTTGACTCAAGGCCTAGCAATCTATAAACTGTGTCACCCAGTTGCCTCAGTGTTCTTTGGCTTTTGTTTAGAAACACATAATCATGGAGTAAATTAACACATAATAGAGAAGAGATGCTAGTCTCCATCTATTAATTTTCAGAAGTCCACAATACAACAAAGCATAAGAAGAAGCAGTCATTGATGACGGTGAGACTCAAAAAAAAAAAATGAGAGACTATTTCAATGGCAAAATTTCTATTTGTTGAGACTTAACAGGGTTAGTTTTTTCCCTTCTTCCCTCTTTGGTTCTGTTTCCAAAAAGGAAAACATTCTAATAGCAGCATGGCAAACTATATCCAAAAAAAACAAAACAGCCTCCTCTGTTTCACTACGAAACTGATGGCTTCTTTTGTTTTTCTTTTTTCCTGCTTCTCAAAAGCTGGAAGTAACAGCATTTTTGTTCGAATTTGGGAGGGCCAAAGTGCTTTACATACATGATCCCATGTGATGGTTAGAACAGTCCTCCATACAGGCAGGGACTGGAGGTGTTTTTATTCCTATTTCATAGATAAGCCTAAGGCCAGGAGGTTAAGTGACTTGTTAGCAATCACCAAGTCAGTAAGTACTCGATGCAGAATTCAAGCATCTGAAAGTCCACTGAATTAAACTTTAACACAAAGCAGATCAAGTTATCCATGACAATCTTTCTCATTTTAAACTAAAAACATGCCTTTACCAAACAAAGTTCTTCCTAGAGGCTTCACCATGGTGTGGCAGTGACTCATAGAGCTGGCTGGCAGGTGTGGGGTCCAAACCGACAAACTGGATGAACTATCTAGAAGGGCAACCAGGAGCTCAAGGTCTCAAGGTCTTGTCAAATGAGAATCAGCTGAAGGAAACGGATCCTATTTTATCTGAGATGGGAAGAAAAGGGAATGGGACACAACAGAGCTGAAAAGGCTTCATGTAGAGAAGGAAAATAAGTTTGTTCTGCCTGGAACCAGAGGGAGGAGTCAGAAGTAAAACAAATGTAGGCTTCTTATTAAAAAAAAAAAAATAACTTAGCAATTAGAATGAAACAAAAGTGGACAAGGTTACCTCCAAAGGGTTCCCTCTCATTGAAGATCTTTAGACAAAATTTTCATGACCCTGAATTGAATCCACTATAAAGGAGAGTGATTTCTGTTTGGATCCAGACTGGCCGAGGCAGGCTCTGAAGCCCTTTCTGATTCTAAGACTCTGTGGAGGTGAAGTCTCTGGAAGGTTCTCCCAAGCCAGAAAAAGTCTCCTTGGGAATGACAAGGCCTCTGAAAGACTCTGTCCATCTGCTGAAGGCTGCTCCTGCTGAGGTCAGAAGCACTCGTTTCCTACCAGAAGGCTGGCCACCAAGGATGACATGGATTTAGGCCACAGTAACTCATGAACTTCTTCACTGAGGCACAGAAGGGCCGTGAGATGGATCAGGAGAGGCACAAGAGTGGGTTAGGTGGAGAACCTGTACAACTGGGATCATGGTTACTGAAGCACACTAATAATGGCATCTCTTAGTGAGTTTCCTAGCTTGGAGCCAAAGTAACCCAAAGCACACATCTGACCATGTCTCTCCTCTGCTCAAAGCCTTCAGTCCCTCACCAACACTCCTAGGATCAAACTCTTCAGCAGCTGAGGAAGGCCCTCCACAACTGGGCTCTAGCCTTATTTCACATCACCCACTTTCATGGTCTGTTCCTGCCAAACAAACCTAATAGAACTAACAGAATAATAAAATAATAGAACAGAACAATAAAACACCACCACCACCACCAACAGAATATAAGCTCCTTGAGGGCAGAGGCTGGGTCATTTTTATCTTTTTATCACCAGTGGTGCCTAGTGCCTTGCCTTACACAGAGTAAAAGGTGCACAGACATACATACACGTGGAGGGAAGTGAGATAGCAAAGACATGCTGACCTGCCCCCCAATTTCCATTAATAACATGTCTTCAAAATGAAAAAAAAAAATTACATTTCTGTGTATGACATGATGGCACACACGTCTAGCTTTATGACTAAAGGAGTATGAGCTAAATTGGCCTTCTAGTTAACAGGCCCCAGTGTCTTCTCCATCCTCATCAAGCAGCTGTCCTTTGTGGCTGTGGTTGGTGACAATAACAACAATAATATTTTAATAACTAGTACTTATATACCTTATTAAGGTTTGCAAAACATTTTAGATGGTATCTTATTTGATCATCACAACCACTGTGGGAGGCAGGTGCTATTATCCCTGTTTTACAGATGAAGAAACTGAGGCTAAGAGAAGTTAAATGACTTGCCCAGGGTCAGACAGCTACTGAGTGCTTGAAGCTGGATTTTAACTCTGTTCTTCCTGACTCCAAGTCCAGCCCCCTATTCCCTGTGCAATCTAACAGGTTCCAGATGGAGAACACTTGAAGATTTTGTTTTGTTGGCAAGCAAAGGAGGTAGTACCTTACTGGAAGCTTTCCCCCTACTACTATAAGCTTGAATCTATTGGTTTCATTTGTATATATAGTGTTAAAAGATTTAGCAAAAAGCCATTATGTTATTAGCCACGTAGTCCCAAATCAAACTCAGAAATGCAGCTTTTCGAAAAAGACAACACAAGAGACTCTGCTGGTTCATAAACTTTATCCCCAACTCTTCTAAAATTGATTCCTGTGTTCAAATGTTTATGATTTTATGTTTAACCCTTTTCTCTGCTAATCTTCACAAATTCTCACTGCTTGACCTTCTTTTCTGACACTGTGGTCATTTCTTTCCATAATCTTTAAAATTATCCTGTGCTGTATAACCTACATCAAATTCCTTACCATCTCAGAGAGGGGGAGGCAGGAAATCTGGAACTCAAATTTTTTTTTTAAAATGAATGCTAAAACTGTCTTTACAAATAATTGGGAAAGAATAAAATCCCATGCTCTCTGACTTCATTCACCTGCCATGGTCTTAATCAGAGGCTGTGAAAAGAGTGCTGTGAGCACCGTCCGCTTCCCTCAATGTCCTGCCTGATACTTCCTCCTAAGCCTTTCATGTCATTACATTCCTGGACATTCTGTTCCTTTACATTTCCTGCCAACCTCTTTATTCTCCAGCTGAACTTCTATCCCCACATCCAGTCTGTGACATCAGCCAGGTTAATCTCCATTCAAACATTCCTCCCAATGGAAGAGGTGGCTTTGTTGTTCCTTATTCCTCACCTTCAATTTCGTTTTCTAACTTCTCTGTTTCCCTTGTTCAAATGTATATTAAGCCTCAGCTATAAGAATTCGGTGTTGCTGAGATTTTTTTTTAATCCATCAGCCAAAACAAAAACCACCTCCCTGAAACTGTTTAAAATTCTAGCTTTGCTTTCTTTTGCCTTGAGGAGATAAAAATCATGTTTCACACCTCTGATCTTCCTTTTTCATTCCTGAGTGAGCCAAGCAATATGCTGAAGAAGAACAGTGAGGTTATGGGTGGGAGAAAGAGAGGAAAGCTGGTGGGGATTGAGCTGCCAGGGGAGGAGTGTGACGAGAGACTCCCGGCCCTCTACTGTTTCACAAAATATAAGCTTTATGGAGGATGGCACTACCCAGAGTCCTAAGTCTCTGTGGATCTCCCCAAGTTCCTGCCATGGCATACTACATCCATGGTGCTCCACAAATGGTTACTTAAGGAATGAGAGCATAATGAACCTACTATCAAAAGAAGCTCACCTTAAATCCACCTCCAACTTCTCCAATGACATTTTCAACAGGCACTTTTGTATTTTCAAAATGAACTTCACAAGCTAAAAATTAAAAAAAAAAATTCAAAAGGTTTTATACCCATACCAGTATTTAACAAATGAGCCTCAGTTCTGCAGAACTGCTACAAGTAAAAGAAAAATAATCTCAAAAACAGTCAGTAAGCCTTTAACACACTAAAAGGTATTTTAGCCCTACTAAGTAATGCACCACGGCCAAAGAGAGACGGGGATTTCATTTCATCATGCAATAAAAGGTAAATTATTTGAACAGAAAACAGGACAATAAACAGAACAGTCCATTTCTCCAAGTGTAATCCTGATGTGTTAATGTGTGAAATTTTTAGTTTAGCTCACTGGGTAATGATGAGGACGATGTCAGAGACTGCAACGTGGGCTGACTCATCTCACTTCGTTTTTGGCCACATCACACGCCAACCCCTAACCTTCTGTTGTCGCTGCTGTTTTGAGGATGGGTCTCTTCATTTCTCCCGGCTGGAGCAACCCTCCTGGGGCCCAATCCTACCGCTGATTGGCGGGGGCCTCGCCCTGCTTTGTGTCCGCCATGAGCTGGTTCACCCCTCCTTAGGTATCCTGGCTACCGTCCCTCTTCCCCTCCTTGCCCCAGGGTGAGGCTCACCATACCGGTGCTGACCCTGTGTGAACGCCTCATCAACCTAGCCCACTGTATCTCAGAACCTTTGAGTTCAATGATTCACTAGCCTTGGCCTCCCCAGGGCAGGGATTACAGGTATGTGGCATTACAAATGGCTAAGCCCATGGTTTTTAAGGTGCACGTCATTGATCAGAGGAGGGGATTAGGCATACAGGATCTGTGGCCCCAGTGGCACAACAGGGAGCCATGAGTGACCGCTACAGAGAGGCAAACTCAAGCTTGTTATAGGAAATACCTCCTACCAATTAGAGCTGTTCAAAAGTGCATGGACTGCCTGGGAAGGCAGAGGTTTTCCTTTCATTGGAAGTCTCTAAGCAAGGCTAGGAAGTCACTTGTCAATTGTACTACAGTAGGGACTTTTGGGGACACTAAATGGCCACTGATATCCCTTCCAAAAACTTTTAACGGTGTAACAATGTGCTTATTCACATTCTGCAAGATAATTAAGAAGAGAAGGAAGATGGTAATAAGGTCATTACCATGAAGAGATAAAACATGAAGCCAGAGGCAGCTTTCCACTGAGCTAGGAGTCAGGCGGTCAATCTGCCCCAGATCTGTCCCTTTGTAGCTACATAAACTCAAATCACCTGGGCCTTCATTTCCTCCTCTGAAAACAGAAGGCATGGAATGGATAATCTCTAAGGCTCCTCTCAGTGTTAGGACTCTACCTAAAGAACAAATGGCCTTTGCTGAGTCCTAACTGGAGGTCTGGGAAAGAAATGATCAACACCACGGAAAGGTGGGAAGGCACGTAAAGGACTCCACGAGGGAGGGTGCTGAGGGGAGAGAGAGCAAGAGGGCCCTCTAGGATGGGCATTGTCGCCTTCCCACTAGAGATATGCAGACTAGGCATCGGGATGCGGCCTCTTAAGCATGCTGCCGACGGGCTGGGTAACTGACACACAACTGGATGTCATCCGAGGCCTACAACAGGGATGGGGAAGAACAAACACAAACTACTTACTGTCAGAGCCCCGGATGCCTAATTTGTTCTCAGGTTTACCATTCGTGATGCCGCCAAAATTTCTTTCAACAATAAATGCTGTGATTTTGTCCTTTTTAAAGCCGTCTGAGTCAATGATCTCTGTCTTGGCAAACACTGTGAATATGCTGGCCAAACTACCATTTGTGATCCAGATCTGGAAGGAAAGAAAAGAAAGGAACTTGGGAAAATCTAAGTAATCATGATTGACAAGCTTTCTTCATAATGCTGGAGCCAGTTTTAGTGTAGGAGAAAGTTCAAAGTAGCCAAAGTCAGAAGGCCTGGGTTCAAGGGCCCATTTCAAATGTGTGACCTTGGGCAAGTCATTTCCCTTCCTCAGAGTCTTGGTTTTCTCTGTACAATGGAGATAACGCCACCTGCTCAGCTTTCCTACCTCAAAGGGTTGTTATGTGGAAGCAAATGCAATAATTCGGGTAAAATATTTTAAAACAGTGGAAAATTTAAGAAAAAAAATCAGCTATTACCGCACACTTTATTTTTTCCCCCAAAGTCTTCTGGCACATGGCAAATCCTTACAATCTCCTACAGGCATTAGCTCCCAAACTTCCTCGCGGAAGCCCAAGTCTCATACAGCTAATTTCATGGGCTTTGCCACTTTGGAAGAGGTGGAGATGGAAGATGTGGAGAGATCAACTCCATGTTGATCTGTCTTCAACTCACCATGTCACTACAGATAAATGGGAGTAGGCTAATCATTAGCCACTAAGGAGAGCGGGGTGGTGTGGTAGATAGAGCACTCACCTCAGAATCAAGAAGGCCTGAGTGCAAATCCAGCCTTAGACACTTCCTAGCTGTGTGACCCTAGGTAAGTCATGTCACCTTTTTCTGCCTCAGTTTCCTCAAAACTATAAAATGGGGATAATAACAGCACCTACCTCCCAGGGTTACTGTGAAGATATGAAATGAAATACCATTTGTAAAGTACTTTGCAAACCTTAGAACGTTTTATACATGTTCTTATTAACATCAATTCTGTGAGAATGGGGGCTGTACCCACCTCCAGAATTATGGCCTCTCAGAGAGGTAAGGGACCCCACCTTCTTCCTCAGCAGAAATCTACCTTGTCCTGAACAGTCCAGTCTGTAACTGTGTATTCAGGCCTTGGGACCTCAGTAAATGCTTGCTTCCTGCCTCAGGTTGAATTGCTCTAGCTTATCTCAGATAAAAACGCACTTCACACGGAAGCGGTCCAATTGGTTCTAAACCCCAAGTTCCAACATCACCCCTTCTCCCTTGGAGCCTAGAGGCTGCATCCCTGCACGAGCCCCTCCCTTCCCTGGCTTTGCTTCTGCATCTGTACTACGGTAAGGCAATAACTCAAGCTCTCCACAACATCCTCTGACTCTAGCCTAACCTTCCTTGGGAAATCACACTCAGTCTGGAGAAAGGACGTTACTCCGTCCTAGGGTGCCAAGCGTCTCATGGTGCTGGGGACAAGTACCTTGGAGCCATTTAAGGTGTAGTACTTTTTATCTTCGCTCAGAGTTGCTCTCGTTTGAATGGACGCAGCATCACTCCCACTACAGAGACATCAATGGTTGAGAGACATCAGCCACGTGAAAGCCGACGTGCCACTAAGTCACAGGTGGTCTTTTAGGGTTATTCACAGATTCACATTCGTCACATGCATATACATCTCCTTAGAGCGGTGGTTTAGGCTTGGCTAGAATAGCATTTGAAAATTCCAGCGTGTCCTAGTTTTCTGGCTGCCACTTGCAGTGAAGGTGGCAACAGCATAGGGTGGGAAATGGATGGAGGAGTGTGGAGACATAATCCTGGTTTGAAAAAGGAAAGTGTGGCACAGAAGAAGGTGCACCTGAGTAGAAACCAAGAGCTGAGCTACTACAGAGCTGGGGGGCAATCTTTCTATACCTCAGCTTTGTCATTCTAAAATGACACCACTGGACCAGATGATTCCTAAGGACTCTTCCAACTTTGTAATCGAGATGAAAGAGTGGGAAAAAAAGGTATGTTTCTAATGAGAATAACGTGTGACCTGTAAGAACTTTCTTTGTATGTGAAAGTAAAAAATTAAGCTATAATTCATACATTGCCCATGCTGCTGGATAATGGCATTAAGAAACTAGAAGGGTTGACAGCTTATAAAATAACCTGAATGTGAAACCAGGATTCATCAACAAAATTCATTATTTAAAGTACATTTGGGGGCAGCTAGGTGGCACAGTGGAGAAAGCTTCGGCCCTGGAGTTAGGAGGACCTGAGTTCAAATCCGGCCTCAGACACTTGTGACCCTAGGCAAGTCACTTAACCCCAATTGCTCATTAAAAAAAAAAAAAGCAAAAGAAAGTACATTTATAGGCAGTCAAGGTCAGAGTTCCTAAAGAGATACAATATTAGAAGGAAAAAGGGGACAAGGTACAAGAGAACTGCAAGAAAGGTCTTCCCTAGAAGCCCAATGGTTTGTAAGGGTTGGAAGACTTTGCACACAGAGAAAATTAACAGTCTATTCATGAGTACAACAGTCCACAGTGTCACAGGTCAAAAATTTAAAACCGATGTTGGTGTCTACACGTGTTGTCAGGACTTGCGTCAGCATTCTGCCCTGGTTTGGGGGCATTTATTTTCCGAAGCATGTGAAGGAAGACTGTTGGGCCTTGTGCCCCCTACACCCACCAACACTACCCATGCTTCGACGGCCAGCTCAAATGCCGCCCCATGCATGAAGTCCTCCCAATGCCTCCCAGTCAGCAAGGACAGTTCTCTGACTCAGATTTCACAAAACATGCACATCTTCTTCATGCCGGTTATATGGATTAAGGCTGTGTATGCAGCACAGTCCCTACTAGATTCTAAGTCCTATGAAGACACTTTTTATTGTTCCCTGGTCCTAAAACAATGCTTTGCACATAGTAAGCTCTTAAGACATTTGGTGAATGAATGAAAATATTGCAGCCACACCTCCTGAGTAGCCTTGGAACCCAGACAATGAAGCATCTTAACCAAAGAGTTCATCTGAAAGTCTGGTTATCTGAAAGCTAACTGCACCTATAAATTATGGAAGACTGGGAACCCTGGTGGTGGAACTATCCCACTATGTTCAGCTGCCCCTGGGATGGGACATTCCACCTTGGGTACCTCTGCAGTGTGGTGTAGTAGACAGAGTGCTAGTTCTGGAATATGGAAGACAAGAGTTTTAATTATGCTTTAGATACTTATTTGCTGTGTGACCCTAGTTAAGTCATTTAACTTTTCTGGGACTAAGTGACTTCATCTGCAAAATGAGGAAGACTCATTGTCCCTCCGAGCACTAAATCTCTGATTTGGTGGTTAAGGTAACAGATGTTAACAATACATTTTACTTGATGTGATATAACCAGTCTCTGGTCTTTTTTCTTTAATACATGGAGTCTAGCAACATTATGCGAAGATCAGCTATGATAGATTCAGCTCTTCTCAGCAATACAATGATCCAAGACAATTCCAAAAGACTCATGATGGAAAATGCTAATCAGATCCAGAGAAAGAACTATGGAGTCGAAGGCAGATCGAAGCATACTATTTTCACTTTTTTTTTGTTTGTTCTTTCTCATGGTTTTTTCCTTTTGTTCTGATTCTTTTTTCACAACACGACTAATGTGGAAATATGCTTAACATGATTGTACATGTATAGCCTATATCAGATTGCTTGCTGTCTTGGGGTGGGGGGAGGAAAGAGAGGGAGAAAAAAATTTAGAACTCAAAATCTTATAAAAGCGATTGTTGACGGGGCAGCTAGGTGGCACAATGGATAGAGCACCAGCCCTGGAGTCAGGAGGACCTGAGTTCAAATCTGCCCTCAGACACATGATACTTACTAGCTGTGTGACCCTGGGCAAGTCACTTAACCCTGATTACCTCATCAAAAAAAAAAAGTGATTACTGAAAACTATCTTTACATGTAATAAAAAAAAATACTATTAAGTGGAAAAAAATACATGGGGTCCAAGAATCTTGGAAATGCTGGCTGCCAATTGCTTTTTTAATTTTACACTTCTAAACTTACGAAATAACATAACAAGTCACCTACCTTGTTGCCTCTGTGAGACAGAAAGCTGCAATATATTCCCCAGTTGCCAATTTTGGCAAATATTTTGCTTTCTGTTCCTCAGTGCCAGCCAAAAGAATGCTCTAAAACACACATACACAATGATACATTCAGTTAATACCAAACCAAAAAAAAAAGTTAAATTGTGTTCATGAAAGTTCTTCAGCAGTTATTTCAAAAGAGAAAAAAAAATAATCGTCAAAGAAAGTAGGCTTGTACTCAAAATTTATAAATGTTAAATATTTCAAAAAGTTAAACAGCAAATGAAATTATGAAGATATATATGTAAGATACCTTGAAAGCATCTCTCTCAGGTCAGTTTCTGATGAATAAAATCTATTCTAACACCATGAAGACTGAAAACACAGAGCGTAGCTCAGTGGGGAAGTCTGGGGCTGAATGATATACTGAGATTGCTGGTGTGAGCTAGGGTCACTTTGGCACTTGCTCTCTTGTGGCTCTATTTCAAGAAAAATATAAATATTCCCAAACTTTTCAGTATACAAGGTCAGGTTTTTTTTTAGTTATCATCTTTGAATCAGATACAACATGACCAAATGGGAACCCTGGTGGCTCACATGTTTATGTCTATATATATGTAGCAAAACTCGACACACCCACTTTACATCCTATTCTCCTCCTTCACATATGACAATGACACAGCTTTGCTGTATGTCAGCGTGGTGCCAGTCCAAGAGCCCTTCACCCTCTGTGCACACAGGAAAACTAAGCTTTGGTTTCTAGACTTAGATCCCACCCAGAAAACTAGATTCCACTGGGGCCTGCCCCAGAGGAGGGCCACTAGCATGTCTGGAGGGCCTTTCAGCTTCCTCACAGAGGGGAATAGTCAGACAGACCTTGGAGGCCCTGGGGTGGGGGGTGGCCTCACAGACTTCATGGATGGAGTCATCTCCCTCTCAACAAACAGAATATGTGAGATACTCTGTGTTTGGAAAGGAAGATTATGTAAAAAGAAAAAAAATGTCACTAAAATTTTTTAAAACTTTGAAAAATGATGAATACTGGGTATTTTTAAAAAAGACTTTTAAAAAACTACCTAAGGACACAGAATCAAAGTTAAGTGTAAAATATTTAAGACAGATTTATCACCTAATCACTAGTCAGAGAAATTAACCTTACAGAATATTCACAGTGCCTCGTGTTGAAGAAATAATATGAAATAAACTAAAGAAAAATTAAAAAACATAAGGTAGTGGCAGCTTCATACATCACACACCTGGTTAGAATAAAGACAATGACAGGTAGATATGGTACAGAACAGACGTTACCATATACAGCTTTGACCACAGAAAGTCAGAGAATTGACTGTTTTCAATTCAATCAGAGCAGGTATGTTACATGTTTCCTACTTCACAAGAAGTTAAGTATAATTATCTTAGTCTAAAAAAGAATTTGGTTTCTGGACCTGTCCAGTGCCAGGCACGAACGTTCAATCCCAGACTGATAGAATTAAAATATTCCCCGAGCTCCTGCACGCACTTATTTAGAAAGAATTGTCCCTGCACCTATTCATTTATTATGATGTCTTTTTCTATAAGGTGCAGGTACACATTCTTGGCAAGTGAGCACGAAAATCCAGTGTTTCCTACTCCACCATCTCTTTCACTCCATGTTCATGGAGTCCAGCTGCCCCGGTCACTTTTTGGCCGGGGCTCACACCTCTCCCTGATCCAATTGGATCCTACCTATGTGCCTCTTATCAAAAAGTGATACAACAGGGAGTGTGTTTCTGTTAAACAAGTCATGCCTACAAGAAGTTTTTGCAACAACAATTTCCCTACTCCTAAAAAAAGTTCGGTCTTAGGGGCAGCTAGGTGGTGCAGTAGATAGAGCACCGGCCCTGAAGTCAGGAGGACCTGAGTTCAAATCTGGCCTCAGACCAAACACCTGATACGTACTAGCTGTGTGACCTTGGGCAAGTCACTTAACCCTGATTGCCTCACAAAACAAAAAAAAACAAAAAACAAAAAAGTTCGGTCTTGGTATTTGTTGTGAGAGAGCCTGAGTTACAGCCAAAGGAATCACAGCATTAAAATCTATGGAACTGTATTGGTCACATTAGAACTATATGGTTTCTTTAGAAAAAAGGGAACATGTTACTGCCTCCTATATGACATGTGAACACAGAAGAGTTGCGGGGGTGGGGGGGAGCATGCTCAGGACAGCCAAGAGGATGCTTAGCAGCACTTTGGAAAGAAAAACGACAGCTGAGTGGTACCTTTAGTCCTATTGCTTGATGTGCAGCCAAAGTGACTGCAATTGCTCCATCCTGAGAACAGATTTCTCCTAAACGTGCATACATTACATGTGATAAGCCAAGGCCACCTGTTAAAGATGAATATATTTTTCTTAGTGCCAAAGCAAGTAACTCTACTTAAAATCCTTGATAATGATGCAGAGAAAAGATCAAGAGTAAACATTAGATGCGGGATTTTTCTTGATTTCACACACAGTCTGTGTAACCTCAGACAAGACAATCTCTGTAAGCCTCAGTTTTCTACTTTGTAAGATGGAAATCATAGTGCTTTAACTATCTCATGAGACTGTGAGGACCAAGCGATACCCATGAAAACACTTTACAACCATAAGATGAAAGTTGTTACTATTACAACTGTATTATGAATAATAATTAGAATTGTAAAAATACCCATCTATCTAAATAAAACCCCATGCAAAACAAAATATAAAAGGAAAATGTTTTTATGACAATGTATCTGCTACTCCAAACCTTACTACTAGTTCGGATGAAGAAATAGAGGCCTTATAAAAAGACTTGTCTTCACTGGAGAAAAATGGACCAAGGACTGAAACAGTCAATCAGCTACCATTTATTAATTGCTTACTATGTGCCAAGCACTGTGCTAAGTTCTGAGGATAAAAAGGAAAGCAAAAGCACAGAAATAGCCCCGTCCTCAGGAAGCTTACATTCTAATGGAAGAGACAGGTCGAAACACGCAGCTGGATTGGAAGGAAGGTGTAATTAACCTCAGAGCTCAAGTGCCGGGGGCCACAAAAGGCCTCCTGCAGAAGGCAGCTCTTGAGCTGACTCTTAAAGGAAGTCAGGGAAGGCAAGAGGTGGAGGTGAGGAGGGAGACTCTTCCAGGTGTGGGGAACAAGTGTACAAGAGCATGAAGGTGGGAGAAGAAACACCACATGTGGGAATGACAAGCAGGGCAGTATCGCTGAATTGTGGAAGGAAATAAAGCCTAAGCAGAGTAGAGGGGTAGGAAGGAGACAGGTTGGAAAGAGCTTTAAATGCCAAACAAAAGCCAATTCTATTTGATTTTGTAAGTAAAAGGAGCCACTGCAGCTTCTTGAATAGAGAGAGGATGTGGTTAGATTTGTGCTTTAGAAGTCACTTTGTCAGCTGTGCGGAGGATAAACTGGAGTGCAGAGAGATCCGAGAAGGGAAACCAATGAGAAGCCATTATAATAGTCCAGGAGAGAAGTGATGAGGGCCTGAAATAGAGTGGCAGCTATGTGGCTTTGGAACCAAGGTATCTAAGAGAAATAATGAAGGTATACATAACAGTATTTGGCAAATAGCAGGATATAGGAAACTGAGAGTTAGAAGTCAAGGATGATGCCAAGGTTGAAGACCGAGGTGACTAAGAGGTTGGGGGCACCCTCAAAAGCAATAGGGAAGTTCAGAAGAGAGGGGGTAGAGGGAGAAGAGAGAAGATAATGAGCTCTATTTTGGACATTTTGAGTTTGAAATGCCTATAGCACATTCTGTTCAAAATGTTCAATACAATTGGAAATGTGCAAGTGGGTCTCTGGAGAGAGACCAGGGTTAGGTATATAGGTCAGGGAATCATCTGTGGGAGAAACAGTACAGAGAGAAAAGAAAAGAGGACCATGGACAGACTCTTGGAGGACAACTGGGAGGTGTGACAAGGATGAAGATCCAACCAAGAAGGCAGAAGGGTGGGTCAGACAGTTAGGAGGGAAACCAAGAGAAAGCAGAGTCACAAAAGCCCAGAGGCAAGAGAATCCAATGATGCAGGAAGGGTCAATAAGGAGGAGGAATGAGAAAGGGAATTAGATATGGGAATTAAGAGGTCACTAGACACTAGGTACTTATTAACTGTGTGACCCTGGGCAAGTCAGTCAACCCTGATTGCCTGACGAGAGAGAGAGAGAGAGAGAGAGAGAGAGAGAGAAAGAGAGAGAGAGAGCTCACTGGCAACTCAGGAGAGAGCACTTTGATAAGCTCAGAAGCAAAACTGTAGGTTTAAAAGAGAGTGAAAGGGGCAGCTAGGTGGTGTAGTGGATAGAGCTCCGGTCTTGGAGTCAGGGGGACCTGAGTTCAAATCTGGCCTCAGACACTTGACACTTACTAGCTGTGTGACCCTGGGCAATCACTTAACCCCGACTGCCTAACCAAAAAGCAAAAAAACCCCCCAAAATAAAAGAGAGTGAAAGAACACATGAAGAGGTGCAGCTAGGTGGCAGGGTGGATAGAGCACCAGCCCTGGGGTCAGGAGGACCTGAGTTCAAATCTGGCCTCAGATACTTGATACTAGCTATGTGACCCTAGGCAAGTCACTTAACCCCAACTGCCTCACACACAAAAAAAAAAAGACATGAAGGCACCAAGCATAGGCTACTTTTTCAAGAAATTGAACAGAGAAGGGCTGGAGAACCAGGATAACAGTTAGTGGGTATGGGCCGGATCCAATGAGAGGTTTTTGAGGATGGAGGAAACTTGATTGTCTACAGGCGGCAGGGAAGAAGCCAATAGACAGAGACTGGAGATTAGAGACAGTGGAGATCTGAATAGTACTGCTCATCCACACCCAAGATAGCTGCTATAAATAACAGTGTGCACTGGTTACATACTTTTCAACTTTGTGTTTCCAAGTAGAAGCCCTACTGTGTTTTGATAAGCAGGCAAAAGTTTTTAATGAGGGAAACTCCATACAACAATGGATATATCAAAATCTGTTCAAGTTTCTTCTCCTAAGGTTAGAGCCTCCCTACAATCTCATTTATGCCATTAATTTAACACATTCTTTTACATTATTAAATTATCCAACAAAGTCTATTTCTGTATAGTACCAAGCTCAATTTCAGCCCAATGATAATTAGTGACATATGAATGCATGGGATTTTTTCCTCTATATGCCTTATAGATGAATTTGGAGATTTCAAAATTCAATCTGAAAATTGCTATAAATGACCAACAGGAAAAGAAGGGGAAGGGAATCTGGATGGGAAAAGCTAAGACAGAGTAATTCTTTCCTAGTGCTGCAAATGTACGATGTACAAATTATGATGTAATCCTGACCATGTCACCATTCCGATACTTTCTAATCTATAAAACGAAGCTGAAAATCCTGCTAGTAAGGAGTGATGCAGTCTTTATTTGCAAATCCTCCTCCTAACCTTAGAGGATTACATATAGAATGTTTCTGTTCTGTTCTGTTCTGTTCTTAATCACAAAGCATGATGAAATGACTTTCAAAATGATAGAGCTGTCATACAGTGCTACAAAGTAATTTTCTATAGCCCACAGTTTATTAATGTTCTCTGGAAACAAGCAGAAGATTCCAGGTTTCCTTATGTTCTGGGAAACAAAACTATAGCTATTGATAAAATGTTAACTTTCAAGCTACAGAGAAAATCCAAAAACATGTTTTTTCATAAGAAATATAGTTGTACAGTTATGGTTACTTACCATATTCTTCTGGAATCAGCATGCCAAAGAGCCCCAGCTGCTTTAATCTATCTAAAGTTTCTTGAGGAATTACACCATCATGATCAATTTTTTGAGAGTCCACTGGCAAACAGAAAACATTATAAATAAAATTATAAATACATAAAATTAAACATATTTAACTAATTTAAACTATCCAGTTTAAGAATACCTATACAAGAGCCTAAAAATGAAATTTATTTCGTGTAGCACTAGTTAGTCTAGCAAAAATTTCCAAGTTTATAGCCTCTAATACAATATCCACCTAATGGGATAAGCCTTAAATCTTTCACATGTCAATTTGGTCAGAACTTTTTCTGAGGGTTTAAAGAAGAAAGAAAAGCGACTCTTGAAAACTGACCTAAGTTGGGGAGATAAATAGCAAATCTAATTAGAAAACAAAACCATCTTCTAAGAAACAGGGTTAACAGACACCTAATGCTTAAATATCCTCAGCTGCCAAAACACAAACATCAAAATGAGGGACTAAAAGTTTCACAAACACCCACTGACATAAATATAACGAGGGGTGAAAATTCCAATAATTTTTTTAAATTCCTGAAACTCAGAAAAGGAAAAATAACAATTACTTGAACATTTACCATGGCAAAGGACTAAATATGTAGTCTTTTGGGGGTGGTGTGCTTTAATAAATGTTTTAAACCTGATCATCAAACTTAATCTCTGAGATAATAAAAAACTGAAAAGAACAGCTTTTCACTCAGACTTTTTAGCCATAAGAGAACAAGGAAATACTTAATATCTCCCCAAATACGTGTGCTGTTGAAGAAGGCTTTGAACATAAACATTTTCTGGATCAAAGGTTTGAGAAACTGGTTTGAAGAATAAGGTTGATTAATTTCCCACTAATTCATCTACACAATCACGTGTTTTAGGTGGAACTTGGGATATGACTTTGAAGTCTGGCTATAAAATGTCATCAATCATTTCTTTGCTGATATGTTCCTTTAGGAAAAACATGTAACATGGAAGAGTCAATTAAGGGAAGCAATGTTAGGGAGAGGTAGAGACGAAGGACAAGATAATGCAGAAAATAAATGCTGCTGTTACTTGCTATTCTAAGAATCACAGAATCTCAGAGCTACATAGGCTTTTAGTGTTAATCTCATTCAATTCATTTATTTTAGACAGGAAATAAGACCCAGAGAGATAGCCCAGCTTGCCCAAGAACACACACCCAGCTATGGGTAGAGTTGAAACTAGAACTCAGGTCTCGTGGACTCTAGGCCAGGGTGCTTTCCTCTCTGCTCTAAACAATGCTGCTTTCCTACTTATCTATGTCCCACCCTCCAATTCCATACCTTATACACTCTTTTGAAAAAAATGGTAGGGAGACCACGATTGTTCATGTTTTATACTACCCTTTCTCTCATCTAATACATAATAAGGTTTGTTTTAGGAGGATTTTAAATTTTCCGACACATGTATATCTGCCCCTCAAATGTAAAATTCGCTTACAATGCAATTCTTCTTTTTGGACTGTAACCGAATAAACGTGTACTCCCTCCCACATGCCCTTCTACCCCCAACATATGCCCCCATGGAGGACGTGAATGATGTGGATTGATGCCAATCTGGTTAAGGCTCTAAGCAACTCTGCAGGTTGTTGGCTGGTTTTTTTTGTTTAAACCTGGGATGTTACCATTCAGAACATGAAGCTCAGAAATTCTACACCTGTCAGGCTGTTTGTCTGATGCTGGTTATTCAGGCAGGGAGTGACTGATTCGAGGCATATATTTTAAAAATCACCATTACCAATGCAGTTCTGATTCTATCTGCTAAACCTGGTCACCAGCAATGCAAATTTTGAGGCCTACTAAATAATACTCACACATAATTAAGCAATTTTTAACAACAATAAGGGAAGTAAGTCTCTTAGTTGTTTGTTTTTTTTAATTCATTACAAAAATACACAATTAATTTTGTGATCTGTCACCACTCTAAGTATTCCAATAGTGGCTGTTCAATTACCCGTCTAGAATGCTAAAGGCTAGATTTTTCATAAGGTTGGACCAGATGACATCCAAACTCTAAGTTTCTAAGCTATAAGCTTCTATGATTCTTGTATTTTAAAACATCAATCACAGCAATTTTCAAAATACCAGCATTTAATGTTTTCATATAACTAGCTTATTTTCAAAAAACAGATCTTTCCTATGTATATTGTTTCTATTAAGTGCATATAAATCATTAAAGATTTTTGAAGTCAAATTGGTAATCACAGAATATAGGAATTTGTTAAGATTTCTGATAAAAAAGGAAAAGGACACACACCTTCTTCATTGAAGAATTTTTCTACTGGTATCACAAACTGCTTCATATCATTTAATTCATCTAGGGTGACTTCTGGATATGGAAAAACATCTTTCTAAAAAATGGCAATATTTAATAAAATTATCATTTTCATAGTCAAATGCTATCCAATCTATTCCTAAAGAAATTATACTTTTGGAAGATGGTCACAGCACTAGAGGATGGTCACAGCACTAGACTTGGTGATGGTGCTTATTTCCTGAACCACATCCTTTTGACAAGAACTTCTCTCTGTAGGACACTAAGACTACCTTAAGATATAGGAAAAGGGGGACAGCTAGGTGGCGAAGTGGATACAGCACCAGCCCTGAAGTCAGGAGGATCTGAGTTCAAATTCGGACTCAGATCAAACACTTGACACTAGCTGTATGACCCTGGGCAAGTCACTTAACCCCAATTGCTTAAAAAAAAAAAAGATATAGGAAAAGGGAACTTTAGTTGAGCTGTGATGGAATGAAAATATTTAGGCATTATTCTACACACTACGTTGGGAGAAAAATATAAGAAATAGGAGTGTCAAATGAGGTATAAATTTTCTTTTTTGGCATTTGAGTTAAAAAACTTAAAACAAAAATTTTTATATCTTTTGATAATTTTATTGATAAAGTCCCAAAAAGGGAATAATTCACAGGAGTAATTCTCAGTCCACAACAGATAAATGGTCAAAGGACATGAACTTACTGTCAAAGAAGAGACAGAAATTGTTAATAATTACTTAGAATGCTCACAAATAGTCAAAAGGAAATAAATTAAAACCATTTTTCACTCCCACATGTCAAACAGGCAATAATAATTAAAAGCAAGGCTGATGAGGCTATGGAGGAAAAGGAATACTCATTCATTGCTGGTGGAATTACAAGCTTGTTCATCTTCAACAGTTATAAAAATAGCCATACCTTTTGACTCAATAATTTCTATTTGAAATAAATCATTAAAGTGTTATTTTTTTTAAAAGAGCTAAGTATTCAAAGATTTTCATAGTGTTATATACAATCCAGAACAAAAATAAAAACCAAAACCCCAACCTCTGTAAATGACCTAGGGGAAGGGTTAAATAAATTGTGCTTTATTAATTTAACAAAATGTTATAATGCAATTAAGAATAACAACATCAAGAACACAAAGAAAACAGAAAAGATCTACATGAAATAAAGCAAAGTGAGAAAACCAGCACTTTGAAAGAATGGAGTACGCCCAACTAGAGGTGGCAAAGTGAAAGAAAACGAAGACTACTGAGGACAACTTGGCATAAATGCAAAATTGTTGAGACTTAATGCACCTAAAACTTAAAGTGAAGTCAAATAATTACGAAACAAGGTTTGCTTAAGCAAAAGTCTAGGTTTTTGTGGTTGTTGTTTAAACATTCATTGTAAGCCTCTGGGTCAAACCGATCCCATCTCAGGATTCAGTTTTTGGTTCAATGCAAAAAGACCTGAGGCTAAGGTACTAGGATAATATCTACTAGAACCAGCTACAACCTATAAGGCCAAAAAGCCATGATCTAGATAAACCTATATGCCTTCTAGAGAGTGAGCCCTCAGAGCTACTTTTAGCAGATAAAAGGCTGACCCCAAGCCTAAGGCTTAACAAGAGACAAGGCTTGCTGTGATCCCACCAGAACTTTATGACTCTTGACAGAAATGGTCTTTTGGACACCACTGAATTTCAACCTTTTCTAACAGGATGGATTACGTGATCCTGTGTCTCAGCCCTACCTTCACTTAGAAGTCAAAGGCAAAGAGGGGTGGGGTGATGGAGGGCAGGTTACTACCTCCAGGATTCCCTAACATAGAGCTCAGAAAATTGAAATGCATAATAGTACCTTCTATGCTGCTGGACCGATTGGCAACAGAGAACCTCATTGGTTACTTTGTTTTCTCATTAAATGTCTCAAAAGCAAAAAAAAAAAAAACCCCCAAAAAACCATTTTATTTAAGAAACTAGATCTGAAGGTCCAAGTTTTACAGTCACAGCAGCAGAACACTGTTGATAATCTGCAGACCTTTAGTTTGGTTTAAGGCTTCATGGCATGCCAACATTGCATTAAGTTTAATAAAGATGTCAAAGTAAAGGGATTGAACAAGCACAAACAATAAAAGTTAACTGCTGTAAAATTTTGGAGATCCAAAATTAGAGTTATGAGAAGACACCCCCCCACCCTACTCCTTTACAGAGGTGGGAGGTCCATGGGCTGGTGTGGTAAATTGCACATATTTTCAGAATTTTTCAATGTATTGATTAATTTTGCTGATCTTTTTCCTCTTTTTCTTTAAAATGTAATTTGTTATATGGGATGGGAAAGGGTACTGGAAGAAATTTTGGTGATATAAAAAAAGATATAAATCAAAATTTCTTTAAACATTTTTTAAAAAAGAGCTGTTGTTTTGAACAAATGTCCTACTTGGACTAGCCATAAAAATATCACTAGATAAGGGACAGTGCCAGAGCATTTCAAAATATGGCTTCTCACACCCCCATGGTCCTGAGCTGCTTATTATTTTTGCCTTTTTATACCAAACAATTTAATAAACATTCTAGGAGGTTATTTGCACAGGCTTTTTTGTTTGAAATAGGGTTGTCTTATTCCCCCTCATCCCCCTCCAATCGTTCTTCTCAGTCATTTTTAGTGGTGGCTGGTTGTTCCAATACGCACCATCATGGATGGCATCACTGAAAAAGAAAGCTGGCTCCCCTCTCACCTCAGCCAATCAATCAAGAGTGAGAGAGGGAAGTGTCCTATAGCACCTTTTCAATATATACCTTCCCAACATAAGTAGATATCTGACTAAATGTAAGAATATTAACTTAGAAGAGAAAAAGATGAGATGACAAGACGGAAGCAAAATGGGGAAGCTTGCAATAAGAATACCAGTCATATTCACTTTATTTTACACTCTCAGGTATGAAGACACAGAATTTTCCATCAATGCATTTATTGAGTGCCTACTTTGCAACAGGCATTATACTAGGTGCTGGGACTACAAAGACAAAAAGCAAGGAGTGCCTGCCTCATAGAGTTTATACTCTATTGGAGATAAACAACACACACAGATAAGATATAAAATATATCTAAAGTAAAGTCATTTCCTGGGTATGGCACTTAGCAGCTTGGGGGAAGTGGAGATCAAGAAAGGCTTTATGTACGAGATGGCACTCAGGGTGACCTCTGAAGCAATCTAGAGATTCTGTTGTTGTTGGTCCTTCGTTTTCAAAGAGGACCAGTGATATCACAGGGTGACGTCTTGACTCCTTTGTGAATTGGATTTAACTAAGGCAAAATTGCAGTCAGTCTCACTCTCTCTTCCAGAGTCACTGAAGTCCAGTGGCAAGATAAAAGCCAGAAGAGCTAACGATGGCTTGGGATGCAGTGATTGGCCTTGGCGTCTTTAATGTCTCACTAAGCTCTAAAGCACCTGCTTCAGCCGCCTTCATGGCCACTGGAACAAATTGTTCTCATTCACCTAGTCCACTGGGCGAAGTCTTCACATGCATGGGTTTGGGACCTGCTGGTTACCCTCAGCCTGGTTAGCCCAGTGGCTGAGACAGTTTAGGAGGATGTGACCACCGCATGTGCTAGAGCTTCTTGGAGCCACAGGTGACAGTTGAGTGCCAAGTGAATACCAAAGATGGACAAACAGCCCTGAAAAGGGCTGGGCAAGCCCTCACACTGGAGGTGCTAGTCCTCCTTGAACACCCATACACCCAGGGATTCTAAGAGGCAGAGGTAAGAAGGAAGGGCATTCCAAGGATGAGCGTCGGCCTAGACAACAGAGATGGGAGAGGGAATGTTGTCTGTGAGGACCTGCAAGAAGGCCATTTTGGCCAGATTACAGAGTAAGTGAAGAGTAATAATGTGGACAAACGGCTGAAAAGTTGTGAAAAGCTTTAAATGTCAAACAGAGGAATCTGTATTTGATCCAAGGCAATAAAGATTCAAGCCACTGGAGTTTATTGAGTAAGGGAATGATATAATGAGACCGGTGCTTTAGGAATATCATTGGTAGCTGTGTGAATAATGAAGTAGAGAGAGGAGAGACTGGAGGCAGTCAGACTACTTAGGAGGCTGTTGCAATTGTCCAAATGAGAGGTGACGAAGGCTTCAACTATGGCGGATGTGATATGAATGGAGAGGAGATGGATGTGAGGGATGTGAAGGTAAAACTGCCAAGACTTAACCAATGAATGGCTATATGGCACGAGAGAGTGAGGAATCAGGGAGTTTGTGTGCCTTGGTGACTGAAAGTATGGTGGTGTCCCAAAAGAAATAAGGGTACCAGGAAGACAAATTGCTGTGGAAGACAACAGAATTAGTTATTTTGGATATACTGAGTTTAAGACGACTGTGGGATACTCAGTCTGAAATGTCCAAAAGGCAACGGCAACATGAGACTAGAGCTCAGGAAAGATGCACAATGACAAATTAAAGACAGTCCAGCAAAACCAGGGTGACAGTGGGGACTAAGAACAAGCACAAGGAAAGCTCATGGGGCCTACCTCCGGGGGTATAAGCCCAGTGGACTGTGATTCCACAGACCTCACCAACCACAAACATCAACACAAGGCACATTGTATTGCTGCTCAAAAGGCCAACAAGACACACGTGTGTCAGGAAGCACGTGCTAGCTAAGGACCAAAGAACAGTCCTACTACTGGTGCTCTAAGCTTCATATCCAAGGACCCGGAAGCTGGTGCCGGACATACATGATTTTCTGGGAAACACTTTCAACTGTGCAGTCTGCACTCATCACCAAAAGCACATATTATAGGGCAGTAGGAACACTGGATTACTCTGGTTCTGAGGCCTACATGAAAGAACTTGTGCAAAAGGGCATGGCCCACTTGGCTGAACTGATGAAGCAATACAGAAGATGAAGATGACCAACTGCTGATACTAGCCAGCACCAGGGAAACTCACTTGCAGACCAAGATTTTTACCAAGCTAACAGCGCTCCCTGAATTCTGATAACGGTAAATTACAAAGACAACTGGATCCTAAGATCACAGGCCTTTAGAATTGAAAGGAATGTTGCAGACACCAATGGTCCAGCACCCTCATTTTACAGATGAGGAAACTGAAGGCTAGAGAGGTGGATGTGCCCAAGGTCCCACGCAAAAAGCAGATCTGGAAATGGAAGCCAATGCGACTGACTCCAAATCTTGTGGGATTTTTTCCCCTATATCCATGAGGAGACTAGCTTATGATGCTATATGGCATAAGAGTAAAGAATAAAGACAGTGTAGATCTCTACCCAGCTACAGATGCAACTGTTGATTTTTCTATGTTTACTGTTCAAAGACTCTAAAAGATAACCTGGACACTAAAGTCAGTAGGGAACCAGTTCTCCTGGACTCGCCAACTACATATTGTGTTGTATAGCTAGAGGCCAGGGATAGATGTGAGTGAAATACTACTCTGACAGAGCATAGTTTCTTCAAAAGAAATAAGTGGAGCAGAGTGGAATAGCATTCTAAATTAAGAAGATACACTCATTAGGAAATCTAGGAACCTGAACGGGGGAAACTGGGTAGGGAGCATTTGAATGAGGATGCAGAGAGAGATGAAGAAAAAGTAATAGTGTTTTGGGGACATACTACAGACTGCGTAGGCAGAAAGGAGAAACTAGATGAGGCACTTGGAAAAGAGATCACAAACTTGGCACAAATAATAGGATACCATAGTGATAGGGGACCCAGACATCTGCAGGATTTTCTCTATGCTAAAGGCAGAGCAGGCCAGAAATGTGTAACTTGTCTCAATGACAATTTCATCCTTCAAAAGGCAGAGGAAGTGAAAAGGGGATTTGCTGTTCTCTGCCTGACTGAGGTACTGGTTGCTGAAGCAGAAAACTACAACAAACTTAGGAGCAAGATAAGATATAACAAACTGGGTTATATCCTCAAAACTGGCATTCTAAATGGAGAATTTTATCCAGGGCCTCCAGCTCCGGACCACCTGCTGTTCTACCTCAGAGACCCTATTCATTATGCCATTTCTGAATGCCTTTCTCCCAGTAGCTATTATTAACACCTATGCCAAATGGGTCAAAGCTGTACTTCAATGTTCCCTTACAGTACATGTCCTGTCTTGTTTAAGGCTGTCCTACTTAAATTCAATTACTTTTGTTGCTACTCTCAGAAGCACAGGATATTAGATGATCCCATATATGGGATTACCATCTATGTTTTATACAGCTATATGCCTTTTTCTTCAAAGATGACCCTACATATCATAAGGTTACTATATGTTGCTGAATAAAGATGAGACAACAAAAATGATTAACAGAGAGTAGAAATATAAGATAAATGAAGACAGAATCAGACAGCTTCAACATGTTCTTAGAAAGTTCAAGTCACCAGGCTCAGTCTAGGTAATGAAATAATGGGTAGGTATGATGGTTGAGTTGGTGTTACTGATCAATGGGTAGAGGTGGTATAAACTGGAGAAGAGAAAATGCTGAATGACAGAGAACAGAGGAGAAAGAGAGAAGGAGGAGAGGAGAGATGGATGGGAGGGAGGAAGAGAAAGGGGAAAAGGAAGAGAAGAGAGGAGGGGGGAAGGAAAGAGGAAGGAAAGAGAGAGAAAGAAAAGAGGAGAGAAAGAGAGAGAGAGAGAGAGAGAGAGAGAGAGAGAGAGAGAGATTGAGATCTGCCAATTATAGACCAGGGAGCTTGACTGATTACTGGAAAAAGTCTATAATGCCATTACAAGAGCTGGTCTGTGTGCATTTAGGAAAGATGCAGATATCACTAAAAGTCAGCCAGGTTCATCAAGAACAAGTCATGCCAGATGAATCTTGTCTTGTTTCTGACAAGGCAACTAAAATGGTTTCCGAAGGGAATGCCACAGACATAGTATTTGTTGTTGTTGAGACATTTCAGTCATGTCCAACTCTTCCTGACCCTATTCGGGATTTTCTTGGTAAAGGCACTGGAATGGTTTGCCAGCTTATTTTACAAAAGAGGAAATTGATGCAAACAGGGTTAAGTGACTTACCCAAGGCCACACAGCTAATGTCTGAGGCCGGATTTGAACTCACGCCTTCCTAATTCCAGGTGGAATTTGCTATCTAGTTCACCATCTAGCTGACATAGTATATTTAGACTTTAACAAATTACGTAACAAAGCCTCTCATGCAACTCTTGAGGCCAAGATACAGTGTTATAGGCTGGATCAGTGGGGTTAAACTCAAACAGAAATGGAACCCTATGGTCACATATTGACTTAGAAAATCACAAATTAAAATCATCTATATTTTATTTATTTATTTTGTTTAACATGTCCCAATTACATTTAAAGTGGCTTGCAGCATTCAGGCTGAGTTAAGACACCTGTGGACCGGATTACACATTTTAGGTGATTATACATTTAGATTTGGAACCAGTTTAATGACTACATCCTGAGAGTAGTCCTTAATGAGCTGATGTCAATTTAGGGAGAGGTTTCATGTCAAGTTGCCTGTCCTAACTCTATGTTAGTAGTGACTCTGGACCTCGGCTCAAATTTTACCTCTAATGGTAACTAACTTTCCCGGGCCCCAGTTTCCTCACCTTTAAATGAGGGGGTTGAACTAGATGATCTCTAAGTTTCTTTTGACTCCAGTTCTTTGATTTCACATAGTAAGAGTCAAGGACAACAGAGGGACAACCTAAGTTGCTGCAATTGGCACCTATACGTTAAAAACCCTGGAAGGACATTTGACAAGACTACAGGGAGTGGATAAACTACACCATGAATGGAAGGAGGTCATACTCACAGAGATTCACCTAAGCAGGAACTATATCCTCAATACGCTTTAAGGAACCACTAAAGGTTTTGTCAGCAAGGTAATGATGAATTTAAAGCTGTACTTAAGATTTATCTGGCACTATACTTAGGATGGATTAAGAAAAAGTGGACACCAGATACAGCTTAAAACCTTTATCTAGCAGCATCCTCGGGAAGGATTAAGAAAAAGTGGACTCGAGGTAGAGATTTCTCCAACAGTGACAGGTAATGAAGGCTTGAACTAGTTTGCTGCTGTGAGGGGAGAGAGGTGGGGTAAGAAAGAACATTAGGGAAAAAAATTTTTAAGCAAAAAAAAATTTTTTTAAAAGATTACTGGACTGAGAGTCAGATCCGTGTTCATTTCCCAGTCCTGCCACTAACTCACAATATGACCTTGGGCAAATCACTTCCCCTCTCCTAAGCCTGTTTCCTCACTTTTAAAAGGAGATCAGGGTTTCTTCATCTTTGCTGGCTGTCTAGTGAAGCCTATGGACCCCTTCTCCGAATGCTTTCAAATCTTTTAAGGAAATGCTACCTTTCAGCTAGAGGTCAACGACAATAAAGATGTGCTTTTTTCCCCCTCCTGATGCAAGGTCTCGTAAGAGCTGTCCACGCTGGGGGATGGGCGAGGCCAGGCTCAGAGGATCTGGAGCCGAGATGGACATTAGGGATCACCCAGACCAGGGAGAACCTGAGGTTCACGGATCAGAGGGAGAGGAGGGAGCGGCCCACCCTCAGCACCCCGACTGCCGGAAGGGAGAAACACGGGTTCAAACCCGGGGCGGCGCAGGCCCGGCTGCTGCTCGATCCTGCCCATTTTACAGATGAGGGAAACGAGGCTCGGAGAGGAGAGGCGATTGGCTCGGGCTCCCACAACCGGCAAACGGCGGGGCTTGACAGGTGGGCCTGGGGCGGGCGTGCGGGAGGTCGTGGCCCCCGCCTCGCCTGCCGGGCCGGGGCGGCCGTTACCTTCTGGATCTTGCCCAGGAACAGGTCCTTGGCGTAGGACGAGCACCGCGGGCCGGTGCGCAGGAGCCGCCGGAGGATGCCCGCCGCCAGCCGCCGCTGGGGGAGAGCGCCCAGGGCCCGGCGGGAGCCCACCCCGAACGCCCGCAGGAGGAGGACGCCGCCGCCGCTCATGACGCTCCGCGCGCGGTCCCAAGCGGCCGCCGAGGAGCTCCAGGAGCCGGGAGACGCGCGGGCGCCTCCTGATGGCGTCACAAGCGGACGCCTCCCGATGGTGTCACGAGCTGCGACAGCTCCCGGCCGCCCCCTCCCCTCTCCTCCCGCCTGCCTCCGGTGGGCCCCAGTGCGGCTGCGCAGGACTCCTCCTCCCCCTGCTTTTCCCCTCCCCCTCCCTTTCCCCCTATCTTTTTCCTACTGAAGTCCCTGCCCTCGGGGAGCTTCCACTCTAGGATGCATATAAATGACTGTGTTCCTAAGGGGTGCCTACGGTATACAAGGAAGGCAATCTGAGCCGATAAGGCACTGCTGGCCAAGATGATCTCAGCCTGGAAGGCAGCCAGGAGGCAGTGGTAATGGAGAGAGAGCAGTCAGACGTGGGGCACGGCCGGTGCAAAGGCACCAGGTCGGGAGATGGAGAGTTGTGGATCTCTATTGATTATCTCCAAAGTACCCTGTCTGTATCTCCCTGGTTGGGTAGGTTTTTGTGAGTGGTCTCCCCGTTAGACTGTGAGCTCCCGGAGGGCAGGGATGGCCACTTTACCGATGGAGGTCAACCCTAGTTTTTAGTCCAGTCTAGAGCCTGGAGAAGTTAAGTGGTATGAGTAGCCTCCCAACAGTATATGTTAAGGTAGAAATTGAACCCCAAATCTTCCTGGCTTTTAACAGGCTCCCTAGCCACAACACCATGTTGCCTCAACAAACAATTTAAAGTCAAAACTCAAAACAAACCATTCCTTAACTGCTTTAACATATTTGCCAATTAACAGTTTTTAAAAGAGCATGGAAGCTTGAATATAGAGGACTGCCCTGCTGAAGACTTCCCCACCATCCCTGGAAAGTGAGATCCTTTAGAGCAAAAGTGCTGCAATGTTCCCAAGTGAGGCCAGAACCAGATTACAATGTAATTGGGAAGTATTTAGCAAGATAAAAATACAGTAGAAGATAGATAATGATAACATGTAATTTTTCTAAGTTAACATATACCAGCAGGAATCCTTATATGATTTAGTGGCCACCTTCCATTTGAGTTTGACACCGCTGCTTCAGAGAAGTGACCCCAGGGTCAGAAGAGGGGAGATCTGGAGCCAGAACAGTTGCAGGGGGAGATAGGACTGGAATGATTGTGTTGGAGACAAACTCTTCTATGGCAGGTGAGAGAAATGATTATTCATAACCGATGATTGGGGGAGAGCCAGAATCTTTTCCCCCCTACCCCCACCTCTTTATAAAGTCCTGATTTTCAAAGTTCAGGCTCTTGAAGAACATTGCAGATGAGATTGGACTGAGACCTCACCCTGGTAGGGTAGCTAGTGCGTCCAGCTCAGGCCTGAGTGGGGTGTACATTCTTCGAAGAGATGGCCCAAGGCTGGGGTGGTCTGGGTATAGAGATAGCTTCTGTATCCAAGGGTGACCTGATGTCACTCTCAGCCCATCATTTTAATATAGCCCACCTCTCATTGTGTTAACCAGTCAGAATTGATTGCCGTTCCTCTTTGAAAAGAATATGAAAGCTCTGAGCCTGCTGCCATGATTGTCTCTGGTCTAAGAGAGACGGCCAAATGACCATCCTTTTATTAATAATGTGCTGGCCTTATTAATAAAATGATTAAATTACCCAGAAACTATGTCTCTTGAGCCTTTTTAATTATCACACCGGAAGGATAGGCTGTGACTCATCTTGGTACCCACCAAATGATTGGTCACACAGCCCTCAGGGTTGGCCCATGGCCTCTCAGGAGCCCCAGCCACCCCTTTAGAGATGACTTTTTTTTTCTTTTTGCCAATTGGGGTTACGTGACTTGCCCAGGGTCACACAGCCAGTAAGTGTCAAGTGTTTGGTCTGAGACCGGATTTGAACTTCGGTCCTCCTGACTTCAGGGCCGATGCTCTATCTACTGCGCCACCTACCTGCCCCCTGGAGATGACTTCTAAGCCTGATCCAAGGCATAGAGTTCCTGATCTCCCTAACTGAGTCATTAGCTCCATGAGTCTGTGGCGGGCATATTAGCCAAGTAATAACAGTGTTTAGAATGAGAAAAAAGGAAATGGGGTAGCTTATGCAGCATTTCAGATGCCTAATTTTCTGAGAGGTAGCATAGTATAAAGTGTTGAAGCTGGTGTCAGAAGACCTAGATTTGAATCCTGCCTCAAATACTTAGTAATTGTGTGATCCTCAGCAAGCCATGTATCCTTTCTAGGACTCAGTTTCTCATCTGTAAATGGTGATGATGCCCACACTACTTATGCCTCAGGGTTGTGGTGGGGAAAACACTTTGAAAATCTCAAAGTACCCTATAGATCTGAGTTGTTATTATTTATTTATAGCTAAAAAGTTTCAATTAATCTTGAAAAGAGTGAGATAGAATTCCACTTCATTCATTCAGTCATCAATTCCAAGTAGGCTCTTGCAAGAACCATGCTGAACTTTTATCCACCACGCTCTAGCTTCGTGCCCTGGAGAGTTTATGATGATCTTCAGGGGTAGTGAATCTCTGACACAGCCTACCTAAAAGTTTCCTATTTCAGGAAATTTTAGCCAAAGAGCATAATCTAATATCCTTCAAGTACACTCTAGCACACCAGTACATGGGAAGTGAAGGATGTGACCAGGGATCAAAGTTGTATAGCTAATAATTATAACACCAGATAGCATTAATGACTAGTCCTGACCATGTGTGAATTGGCAATTCAAGGAAATTCTGAATACAAAAAGTAGGCTATGAGAGATACTTCTTAATCAGTGGTTTTAAAAAAAAGTCTGCATGCTGCAGAATAGTGTAAACCAGATGGCTGGCATCTTATATTACTAGGTAGAGGCTGTCCATATTAGGTAGATTATCTGGGTAGATCTTCTGTACTTTTCCATTATCCTTATTAGTTAGTGTTAATCCTTTCATTGGTGCAGATGACTGAACAATATTGAAAAACAGTGTAAAAGTTTCCTTTATTGAAAAAATTTTTGATCCAAGCGTAAAGCATTTTTAAAAAGAGATTGCAGGGGGTGGAGTCAAGATGGCAGAGTAAAAGCAGGGACTTGTCTGAGTTCTCCCCCAAACCCCTCCAAATACATTTTAAAATGACTCTAAACATATTCTAGAGCAGCAGAATCTGCAGAAAGATGGAATGAAACAAATTTCCAGTCCAAGACAACTTAGAAGGTCAGCAGGAAAGGTTTGTCTCACTTGGATGAGAGTGAAGTGCAGTCCAGCCCATGCTGTCCCAGTACAGCCTGGACCACAGCAAGCCAGGAGTAGACCTTGGGAGTGACTGAATCAGCAGTGACGGTGGCTACTTCTGGAGCTCTCAGCCCACAGATAGTAAGGGGGTCGAACTACTGGTCAGAAGGCGATTACAGGGGTCTTTTTGCTAGCACTGAGGCAAGACTCTGTTGCTTTGCCCCTACTCAGATCTAGGTTGCAGCCTTGGGTGGCAGTGCCAGGATGAGGAGGAGCACTAGCATAGCAGAGCCTGAAGCAGTGGTGGAGGTGGGGGACGCTCCTCACAGTTCCAGGGCAGAAAAGAGTGCTCACAGACCAGAGCACAGGCCAGGAGAGTAGCAGACACCTCTCCTTAGATCATACCACCTTGGAAGAACTGAAAACTTACAGGTCCCTAGAAGTGTCTCTGAAAATAGTTGTACAAAACCCTGAAGCTTGGGACAGTGTGCCCTCTACCTTGGAAACAGAGCCCTACTTTAACAAAGAGTTAAAAGTCAACTAATAGGTTGGGAAAATGAGTAAACAATGGGAAAAAAAAACTCTGGAAGATCAAAATACACACTCAGAAGATGACAACAAAGTCAAAACTACTACATCCAAAGCCTCCAATAAAAATATCAATTGGTCTCAGGCCATGGAAGAGCTCAAAAAGGATTTTGAAAATCAAGCAAGAGAGGTACAGGAAAAATTGGGAAGAGAAATGAGAGTGATGCAAGAAAATCATGAAAAACAAGTCAACAGTGTGATAAAGGACACACACACACACACACACAACACTGAAGAAAATAACACCTTAAAAAACAGATGAGGCCAAATGGTAAAAGAGGTCCAAAAAACCAATGAGGAGAAAAATGCCTTAAAAAGTGGAATTGGCCAAATGGAAAAGGAGGTCCAAAAGCTCACTGAAGAAAATAATTCCTTAAAAATTAGAATGGAGCAAATGGAAGCTAATGACTTTATGAAAAATCAAGAAATAATAAAACAAAACTAAAAGAATGAAAAAAATAGAAGACAATGTGAAATATCTCATTGGAAGAACAACTGACCTGGAAAATAGATCCAGGAGAAAGAATTTTAAAATTATTGGACTACCTGAAAGCCTTGATTGAAAAAAGAGCCTAGACATCATCTTTCAAGAAATTATCAAGGAAAACTGACCTGATATTCTAGAACCAGAGGGTAAAACAGAAATTGAAAGAATCCACTGATCACCTCTTGAAAGAGATCTCAAAATGAAAAGTGCCAGGAATATGACAGCCAAATTCCAGAGTTCTCAGGTCAAAGAGAAAATATTGCAAACAGCCAGAAAGAAACAATTCAAGTATCGTGGAGCCATAGTCAGGATAACACAAGATTTAGCAGCTTCTATGTTAAAGGATCAGAGGGCTTAGAATATGATGTTCTGGAGGGCAAAGGAGCTAGGATTACAACCAAGATCATCTACCCACCAAAACTGAGTATAATCCTTCAGGGGGGAAAATGGATATTCAGTGAGATAGAGGACTTTCAAGTATTCTTGATAAAATGACCAGAGTTGAATTTTACTTTCAAATACAAGATTCAAGAGAAGCATAAAAAGATAAATACAAAAGGGAAATCATAAGGGACTTATAAGATTAAACTGTTTACATTCTTACATGGGAAGATAATATATGTATAACATAAGACCTTTCTAATTATTAGAGTAGTTAGAAGGAAGATATATGTATATTATATTATATATATATATATAGACAG